AGTGATTAACATTCACATCTATTATGTCACATCATACAAATGTAAATACAAAATTACTACAGTACAATATATATTCTCTGCATGATCCAAAATATTTGGTGGCCCCAAAAAACTCTCTTTAAAATTCAGCAGCTTATCAAAAATTAAAACCGTATTCTATTTAAAATGAAGATCTGTTAGCACAGAGTTAGATAGACTTCAAGAAATATCAATTTAGTACAGTTTGAGAAGTTGCAGGAGGATATGTTTGAAGGACACATTCTAACATATAGTGTGGCAGGTACAGGAAACATCAGATTTAAAGCTTTAAGCGTAACTCATACAACCTAAGTTGTCAGCAGAAAGATCAGTTATTTAACTAAAGCTAACACTACTAAATTATTGCACCCAATGTTAACATGTCTATTAATTGTAAAACTGTTTTGTAGTATGAAGTGAAGTCATTTACCACATTTAAACATCTCTTCTCACAAGATGATAATCTATTGAGTAAAATTAATTACACGGTATTGTCTAATTATTTCCATAAAAATCAACCAAGCTCAATTTGGTTATATATCCAGAGGAAAACAACAAAGTAATGAGAAAAGTATACAGTGGAACCCCTTTATAAAGCTGACATTAGAAGGGGACCAACACTGCCTTAGAGGCTAACCGTGTACATAGTATGCTTTTCGAGAGATAATTAGACCTGTAAAAAGCTAATTCTGTATAATACCAAGCCACAACAGCATGAAGGGATTCTATGGTAAACAAAAATTATAATGAAAGAAAAACTACTGGTTTTCTAATTAGTGATACAATACTTGGCAAATAGATTTGGCTTGGTTTTAAAATGCACAAGAGGTGAAAAAAATTCACCATTTTAACTTCCCTCAAAACCATGCATACATTCAGCTGTTATGCATCTTTTTATTTAAACACAATACATTCTGGGATACAAACCACAATACATAGTTGCTGTAATTTAAATGTATACCTTAAAAATATGTATAATAATTAGGCATAAGGAGTTATCTACATATATGTAGTGCCAATGGGGGAAAGATCTATATATAAGACTGAAAATATTAGTCGCAAGTCACCTAGAAAATGTACTGGTGAATGAAACTAACTTTCAAGTGAAATATAATTTTAAAGGGCATTAGAAGCATTGCCATATTTAATACAGTACGAAATGCATTAGGTTGGTATATAATGCCATTGCAATGTATTAATACTAGATAATATTGTTAGCAACAAAGCTCACTGATGATCTGATTTTTCACCTAGATTATCCCAGGTCCTTAACTATTCAAAGACCAGAGTTTTCTTACAGATTCCAATGACTGCACTTCATTAACAATCCTAGGAGCAAGTGTTTTACCCACTGGTAATATTTGCAAAAATAATTTGATAAGCAAAGTTGTATTTTGAAGTACTACCAAAGGAAGGATTTAAATTGCAGTTTTGCATGACACACTCTTCTCTTGGAAAGAATGTTTTTGCACCATTATCTGTTAATACATTCAATATGAATAATATAGACAAACTATATGAAGCAAAAAACACTTTCCCTCATGGCAAAGGTCTTAAATTTAGACTGAAGGGTTTAAGACATAATTAGCTTAATCCTGGCATTTCAGCCAGGCAGAACACAACTTTATACAGAGGAAAAAAAAAAAAAATCCACTTTCCTATTTTGAGGATTTGAAGAGGAGGAACAAATTTAACTCACTTTCAGTAACCCTGAATGCGTAGGGCTTGTGAGGAGGGTTCTATACCATTCCAGTTTGCAAACTAACTGGGGAAAAAAAGAAATCAGACAAACTGGGAAGATTCTCAATGAAATACACTAAAAAAATGAAGACCATTTAAATTAAGTATAACTACCCTTTATAAGCATATGCCACCAAAGCAAAATTGATACAAGGTATTCACCTGAGATAAAACTTGTATCTGTATATTCTATAACTGAGTAGACAAAGCATTTCAAGAGGAAAGTCAGTTGAAATCATTTTAAAATATACATCTGATCCTATTTTACAATATATGCAATTTAACAAGTCAGATCAATGAAAAAGTCTTAACCAAAAAAATCACAGTGTTTATCAATGTTAATTACAAAATGTATGCTACTTGCTTTGTTTTTAAGATGTAATGGCTTGGTTAAGTATTTAAAAATCTATTGTTCTGCAATCTAATTTGCATAACAAAATCAAGTAGCAATAATGTAAAGCATCAGAACTGGCTCTTAAAGATATTTACATGTTGATTATTTTGGAAATAATCAACCAAAAATATAAAAGTGATTTTTTTACACAGTATGAAGTCATTAAAGAGATTAGACAACACAAAAAGCAAAATTATTTCCTGAATAAATGAATACCTGTGGCACTAAATTCACTTGCTAATGGACTGGTAACATGGAACTGCCAAACATGCATTTTAAATTATATTAAACACACTTTCTGTTTCCAACTTAGGTTGATCAGCAGCTTTTGTTCTGTTAGAATCCTTCAAAGAGAGAAGCTCAAACAGGAAAAAGAAGGCATATATAAAACAGTAAACACTGACCTCCTGAGGTTCCTACAACAAAAATATTCAAGTAGAAAATCTACATCACTTAGCAGCGGCTATTTCTGTAGTTGAGCACACTAACAACATTTTAGTGTGTAAGGAGCAGATGAAGTAAGCCGTGCTTTAAGCATGCCAAGAGGCAGAAACACTGGAATGTAACAAAGACAAACTCACAATCTCATAGACATTCAGTCAACACTCAAAACTATTAAGACTACACCACAAGAATTAAGTTGCTTTATATATATATCCCATGATGTATTAGGTTTTATCAGAACAATAAATGCTAAATCAGAGCTTACCTCAAAAGATAACTAAAATGGCTTCTGCAAATTCCTGTGCTATATACTATGTTATCTGAAATATAATATAAATTAGGAAGAAACAATAACCTCAATGGGGAACAAAAAAATTCAACCTAATCTCAGGTTGCCAGTCATATTAATTTACTTCTATTTTTACTTTAAGATTAAATTTTCTTTAAATTTAGAAACATTTCAAGTGACTAACAAAGATGGGCATTCTTGTAATTTATACATCTAACTGGAAGCTAACTTCTAGTCAGGCAACAATTTTGCTTTTAGTTGATACAGAATTGTCAATCACAGGTTTAGATAACTACTAAAGGTTATTTGTTTTATTGAGTTTAGAGAAGAATTTGGCCATTCTTTTAAACTTAAAATGTTTACTCACTATTCCAAATTATTAAAATACCTCCCATATTAAGTTCTAAAAAGTATTTAAAGCATTACAGGCCACTGATATTACGTAGGGACAAAATAGCTACCCTATCCAAGTTTTAAAGACAAACAAGAAATTTTAAGCTCCCAGTGAACTAACCATACTAAAAAGCAAAATGCTATATACACTTTGAATCTAGATTAAAAAAAAAAAAAGAATGGGCACATTATAAAATGATTTAAATTTCAGGCTCTACAGACTGAAATTTGCAAAGCCAAAGTTGAGGAAAGAAAGTGAATGACAGAACATGTTAAACACACATACATACACACACACACACACAATTAACAAAAAAACCTTTCTACATGCTACCATGCATTTGAAATTTTATGAAACAGTATTTATAAAGTCACACGCACACAGCTCAAACTTCAGTGCAATGGCTGTATCATTCAACACTTAAGAGAACAGAACCATGCAAAGAGGAGCAACTGCTTATAAAAATGGTTATTTAGTATTTATTCTGCAATGCAAAGGTGACAAACTAAAATATAAAAAGGCTGTTATGGCTTAACATTTTGTTGCAGATTAAATATGCAGCATTGAAAAATGGAAAGGCGTGGCTTCGTCTCTGACCAGCAGAGTTAAAAAGAAAAATCTCTCCATTTTCCTTCATCATGGGATACACTGTTCAGGCAATCCAAATTAATAAAGACTTGCACTTTCATATGGACATAAGATCAAGTGTACCAGTTAGGTTTTCACATTCACAGTATATAAGAAAATACACATGGAAGGAAAAGTAAAGGGTTAACTTAACAAGGATTTATTCACAGGAATACATGTAAGTAGAGAAAAACAACAGAAAAGCTAAACAAATGAAATGAAGAGGATCCAAACCAACTTTCACTCTGTAGCTTTTAACTTGCACCCTGTGTGCATATATCTAGGGCACAGAGGGCCACCAACATGCGCCAATACAGTGTAGGAACCCTGCATTACATCCATTAACTTAAACATATCTTTAAGATCATGCTTTGAACAAAAAAGGAAAGCTTAGAAGGCAATATGTTGAGTGGGAATAAACATTGAAATAGAGCAATCATTTTAAACTTCTACAATCGTCTTTATGTGCCAACTAACATTTATGCAGCCTTTTACAGATCTCTTTTACCATGTCATTTAAGTTTTAGAAGTTTTGATAAAAATCACTAGTAGTATATAACCATGCAGAAAGCACATCACACTGACAGCACAGAGGCAAAGATTTTGCACAGGTATATCAGCTTTCCACATTGTGCAGGTTACACACAATACAATATCAATCTTATTCCTAACAGATCCTAAAAAGATATTTCAAGGCCTAGCTGTAAACTACAGTACTTTTATATATCTATATTCTTAATAAAAATAAAATCCACAAATCTTAAAAAGGAATTTTAAATGCAGGGCTATATTGAATTGGTAAAATGCAACACGAACTGGCGCAACATAGGTCAATGAATACCAATCTCACTCTATGTGATGCAAGCATGCTACTTTCCCCACTAATTTACTTTCAATCACTATGAGCCAGAATGCATGCCTGAACCGTAAACTGCACTTTAAAATAATGTGTTGGCCTAGAAATTAAATCTAATGAAGTACAACCATCAAATTATATGCACTACATTAATGTTTTAATGTAAAATTAAGATGTCAACTTTAGTTTTGATATGCCCAACCCCACTTATTCCACCCTCCCTCCCACCCCGCAAAGGTAAAAGGAGTGACTCATTTGGCATTTCACAGGGTGCTTCATTGTTTAAATTTGTTTTGTTTTATTTTCAACATTTTTTGGGGGTACCTTAAATTGTAATTTCCAAGAACCTGCTTCTACTATGGGAAGGCAAGCTGATTTTAACTCTATTAGTTTTGTTTGTGTAGTTCTTCATCAGCATGCAAAACAAGGCCCCATAATGTGGGAACATTTATATAAAAACCTTTAAATTAAAAAAAAAAATCTTCTTTACTGTTTGTAACCCCCATTCTTAGGTTTCCTTTATTGTGCGCTATAGAATTTTTCCTTTCTTATCCCTATGCATCATTTATATGGTTCTTGTTTTGGTACAATTCCCCATAATATTCCAGAACGTACTGTTTTGTGAGTAGACTGAATAGATTATTTTTGCTTCTTCACATCCAGTGCGGAGTTGTAATTGAAGACAGATTTCCACCCACAAAGGCTCCAGATGTTAAAACGTTTCCCAACATCGACTTAATACAGTGACGGCACACCTCCCTCCCGCCCCTCCCAGTAGGGTTGGGATTGTACTGTATTCCCTACTGGTATACCCTTCCCCCCTGTAAAGGGTAACATTTTCCCTGGGTGCAGAGGCTCCCTCATAGTCTCCAAGACCGAAGGACCTATAAGAAACAACAGAAACAATTTTATCTTAAACAACTGTCAGTGGAAACATAAAATTCATCAAATAACAATACTATCTTTACCTATAAAATAAATAATTGGACAAAATGGCTAAGATTATGTTAGTTAATTTTAACCACACTGCTTCCTTCTTCTATGGCTCTGAATTGTTACCTGCATTAGATATGAAAAGTGAGGCCAAGTTGAGGAAACAGAGAGGCACACAAAACTTTGTACAGATAAAATTTGCTTTGTATAATGTTACCAATCTAATTCTGTTTTTTGTTTTGTTTTGTTTTTTTGGGGGGGGGGCAAAATGAACCCTAATGGGAACTGGTTATTTTTTATATAATAAGTTACCTTACTGTCTTCAAAATTAAATACCACTTTCTTTAGGACAATCACTTTTCTTACTTACAGAGAATTAAAACATCACTCACTTTTCCAGTAAACCCAGTACTATGGAAACAAAAATTTACTTCAAGAACCAGAAAAGCATTAGTTATTTTTGTTTGATGTTTCACCACAAGGACTAGAAATGTGCATTACACTATAGACAGTACATTCAGTAAATATATAAAAGCAAGTTTTAACACCATCTTCTTAATGTTCTAATTTTCACTCTTCCAACTCAACTTTATTTGGTTATTTTTTCAGGCCAGCTGATTTTCCTGATGAGAAATTTCCTAACACAGTTTTAGTGGTGAAAAGGACATAAATAAATTAGATAAGATTATTGGATAAACTATTACCTGATAGTGGTCCTTTTAAACAAAACTCTACCACCCACTCATGCCAAACTTTGGATATGCAAGAATATTCATGTGAATTCACAGAGGGTGATTAGTGCATCTGTGGAGAAGTACAGCAACCCCCTTTTTCTCCTGCCTCTGAAAAAATGGGAGAGGAGTACAAAAAGGCAGGAATAAGAGGTACCGATCCACTTTTAGCTCTAATTAGGAAACTGAAAATACCAGTCTCAGAACAATCACCACCACAGTTAATTTATGATGAGACCAAAGAGATAATAAATTTGAAAATGATCAAAACTTATTAACTCAATGTTGAACCCTTTAAAACAAAGCCATTTCATCTACTGCAGTCACATGATTCAACAGTGAACTAATAAGCACGCTAAAGCCACAAAACACCTCTGAGGACTTGACACCTAAGTGGGATAACTATGCAAAGGGCCTGAGACATTCCTTAAGGTTGCAGAAGTCCATAACTTGGATAGTACATTTTTTCCAGATTCAAAACCTAAATCAGATTAAACAGGCAGCAAGCAAAGGAAAACTCCAGAGTTGAGTACAATTCAATTTGGTGTACACCTTCTGTAAACACATTCAGTACACCCTCTGGCTTCCAGTCAAATCAGTCTTGATTCAATTCATCTTCAAAACCTGAACAATGTCAAAACTCTGGTTCACTGTACTGGCTAATGTTTCTAACATTTACTAAGCCAATTAAATGTGCTAAACAATATACTAAGTTATGCCATTGCATATCGTTCAGTATTTGATCCTCAACATAATTTAATGAAGAAACTAAAGCTAAAAGATAGGAATTGTTAATCACACACACAGAAAATGTGGGGAAAAAAAAAAAGAGTTCTCACTGGATTTGGCCTTCCACTCCCACAAAAGAAAACAGAATCTTTCAAGTCCCCTTGTGGGGCAAAATTCTTAAAAACAAAAAAACAAAATTCTTAAAAACAAACCAAAAACACACACAAAAAACCCCTCTAGCCTTTATGTAGGCAATTTTAAAGTCTAATATTATTCCAACCCTATAGAAAACACATAGCTTTTTATTATCTTTTACAGTTTTAGATTATAATTCTAAATTTTTCATCCTGAAAATTTCTAAACTTCTTATAACTTACCCCTAATTTTGGGACTGCAGCTTAAGTGTACTAGATTAAACACCGTAAAAAGCTGCAAGACGCTCTTTTAAGGGAAGAGGAAACTGGTCAGAGAAACGCCTCCAATTTTCATCCCCAACTTGATTTTTAAATCCATGAAGGATCTGCAAAGAGTGAAAAACCATTAATTCATCACTAACATAAGAAAAACTGATCTGTATAGCTTTTGAAATCAAACAATATTGATTTTTTTCAAATATTTTATTCATTTCAAAGCAGTAAGCTCAGACTTTGTTAGAATCTATACCACTATAACTTGTCTAAAAGCATCTCACAAAATATACTTTAGTTAAATATAAAATCCAACAAGTATTCTAGTAAACAAATTTATTCTAAGCAATCAGACATCACAATAATTAAAAACAAACAAATAAAAAAGGCACAGAATTTACCTAATGAATAAGACTTATCACGCTAAGTCTTTTCAAACTTGAACTATATAAGTTTTGATTTCATGGCCGAAAATACAGCTCACTAATTTCAGTATCAGATGATGCAAACGTGTAACTGCATTTTATTTCTTATATTCTGTTATAACTGAGTGATGAATGGAATTAATCAAAAGGGGCACTAATAAAGCAAAGAACTATGTAGGCTCAATTCTTGTGGAGACTACTTGACTTCATTTCTGTTCAATAGTTTTAGGGGATACTTCAAATTTCAGCATCCATTTTTGGAAAGTATGCTATTTCCTTTTTTTTTTTTTTTTAAATGTTTTTTAGTTGTAGTTGGACACAATACTTTCATTTATTTATTTTTATATGATGCTGAGGATGAAACCCAGGGTCTCACAGGGGCTAAATGAGTGCTCTACCACTGAACCACACCCCATCCCTGTAAATATGCTATTTTCTGTACACGAAGTAATGGTACTACATGAATCAGTGGTATTTTTTGGGAAGTGCATGATCTATTGATAGTCACACCATATTTTAAGACCAAACGTAGTTCTTCATTAAGAACAAAGGTCATATAATCTACCCAGAGTAGAGAGCCTAAATTTAAACTAAATGTTTAAAAAAATTTTCAAACTTTCAACTAGAAATTTAATAGTCCTACCATGCATCACGAAAACTTATTAGTTACCTTACAGAACATGTCTCTGAGATCATCTTTTGGATTAATCCACGATGCAACAGCATCACAAAAAAATATAAAATCCTGTAACAGGCAAAAACCACATCTTAGATTGATAATACATTTATCAAACTTAGCAAAATTCAAAATATGCAAGACTCAAAATTTATGTCATGATACACTCATAGCTAAAAGGGGAAAAACAAATTTAAAATCAACGAAGATAAGGAATTAGAAGTGATTATTTAGGATGTAAATAAATGTCCTATTATATCACAAAACAACAACAAAAAAAGCAAATCCCTGCCCAGTAAATGCTTAGCACACTGAGAGCACCATATCAATACCAATAAAATATTTTAATTATTAGATTAATTAATCATATAAATTCAATCCTGACTCAGCATAGAAACAACTTAAATCCATCTAAATATATATCAACTGAGCTTAATATGACATATTAGGAACTAGGGGTACTGGGGATTGAACTCAGGGGCCCTTGACCACCGAGCTACAGCCCCAGCCCGATTTTGTATTTTATTTAGAGACAGGGATTCAGTGAATTGCTTATCACTTTGTCATTGCTGAGGCAGACTCTGAACTCGAAATCCTCCTGTCTCAGCCTCTCAGGTTATTCAGATTACAAGATCAAGCATGGTGGCTCACTCTGGTACTCCTAGCTAATTAGGGGGCTGAGACAGGAGGATTTCATGTTCAAAGTCCAGCCTGGGCAACTTAGTAAGACCCTCCTTCAAAATTAAAAAAGAACCATGACATATTTCATAAAAATATTTCTTCAATTTTGATTACCGTAATGAACTATTAACAATTCAACATAAAACATTCAACATATTGCTAATGGTCTGACATGTCAACTACTTCAAATTTTACCATTCAGTTCAGAAAACAAAAAAAATTTACCAACATGTGTAAAACAATTATTTAAGCAAATGTCATTTACATTAAGTTCATTGTTTATTCAAATCAGGATTCTAATGTTATCTAAATATCCAAAGATAATGTTAAAAATTTAAACACACAGGGCCAAACAAGGTGGTGGACACCTGTAATCCCAGCAGCTTGGGGGACTGAGGCAGGAGGATTTTGAGTTCAAAGCCAGCCAGCAACTTAGTGAGACCCTGTCTTTTTTGGGCAGAGGAGTGTTTCAGTAATAAGTACCCCTGGGTTCAATTCCCAGAGCCAAAAACAAAACAAAAACAAAAACAAACCCACACAGAATATATAAAAATTGTGATTAATATGAATGGAGTTAACAAACAAATTTCTACCAACTCTTAGGTTGGTAGTGATTTTATGACCACTGTGCTACTTCTACTACCTTTAAAAACTAACAATACCTGGTAAAAAGATGTTTCTTTTGATAGAGGTAAGACACACGAGAAAACAACATTTAGTACTGAAAAACAATACTAGGAGGTTATTTTGAAACTAGGATCCTTATCTCAAGGTAGTATTGGCTTATTTGATTATTAAGTGATTAATGTTTCATGAACGTGAAATTAGTCAAAAGATCTTTTTCTAGCTCTAAGCTGTATATTTTCTATGCCTATCAATCACATTGATTTGAATTTTAAGTGATTATTTGCATTTCTAAAACCAAGTTAACAAACACCACATGTAAAATAAAAATTACCAAAATCTCAATTAAAAAGGCCGAAAAGCTCTTTTCTCTTGAAAATGTAAAGATTTTTATTTTTTTGCATTTAATGTAGGTCTCCCGCAGCCAGAGTTTTGTTTTTTGCACACATATGGTGGAGTTCAACATGCTCCTTTGTTTTTTGTGTCCAGGAAACTGGCAATTCGATCTATAAACTTTACTAGACTCAGGATCAGTACTGATAACCAAATAATTAAAATGCCTAAATGTAACAAGAATTTAAGCTCAAAATAGGGATGAATAAATGATAAGTTCACAACATTAAAGCAATTTCAATGGCTGATTTAGTACTCTATTTAATGTTTGTAAATTTGATTTCCATAAAGTTTGACACTGTTGTAGATATCCTCAAATTCAGCAATCTGATTGACATTCATGACAGGAGGCATGTACAAAGCAAGTAAATAAGTAAAGCCTGAATAAAGATGGAAAAAAACCCCAACCTAGCCCGATTCCAAGTAAGAATGTAACCTTACTACTCTCTGAATCTGCTATTATAATCTTTCCTAATCACCCCTCAAATAATTTTATTACTTAGAACATTAAAGTTAAAAACAAATCATTGTGAATATCTTACTTGGATTACGCCACTAGGATTCACACTGATCATGGTACAAATCCCACGGAATGCTGAATCCTTTTCCTCATTGTCTCTTATGTTTCTCAGAGAGGTACACCTATCGAATTACAGAATTGTTTTTAGCATTTAAGTAAAAAGCATATTCAATTATAACACTAATAGACAGTATTTAATGGAATAAGCACCACAGTGTAGATAATGGTTATATTAAAAAGAGTGTTTTTTAGAAAGCTTAACTTTCAGTTTCTCATACTTCCTGTATGATGGGCACATCTCATCTCAATGCAGTGGAAACAATGAAATTCATATTTTCTTAATAGACTACAACTACACAGACAGACAACTAATTTGGCTCATTTAAAGTATTAATGAACCAGAGCCAAAAAAAGAGTAAATTATCAAATTTTGAAAATTGTATTGACTTGTATTCCATTAAACACTACTAAAACCAATCTGAATTGAAGATTATCAATTGAAAGAAGCAGAACATAGAATATACTGCCACAATATAAACTATTACTATACAACTCATGGTGTAGATGTTTAACTTTTACATTAACAAGCAAATAAGATTTTATACATAACAAATTTAAACATGTATTTAATGCAATCCAAGTTTCCAAATTAATTCTAAAAAAGAAACATAATGCAAAAACCTAAATTTATAGAAATTGCATGCATCTTAATTTTTCTGGTGGATATTTAAATGCTTTTTATGTATAATCAAGCTTTTTAACACAGCAAGCATGTGACAATCTTATCCCATGCATCAATTAGTCGTTAGCCACAACATAAAATAAATATACATGACGATGCTACTAAAAAACCTCACAAACCTGATAGGACAAGATTAGTCACATGGTTGGCAATGATTAAGGATTGTGAATTTTGTAACCAACTGAAAATATATCTAAAAGTGAGATAGAAAGAGAAAGAAATAGTGAAGAAAAATGAATAAAAAAAAAAGATTGAATAATACACACCAGGGTCTTATAAACTGCTGTAGCATGGGGGCCACCTCTTGAGGACAAACGTAACCAAGACGACCAATTGTTATTGCTAAGGTAACGCAATCACGGTTATACACCACCAAACGCCAACCAAGACATGAGCAAATGAGGGGGAAGGAGAAAAAATAAAGAAAAAACAACAAATAACTCAGAAACAGAAACCAACAGAATTTGTGTATGATAATAAACATAAGATTTCACCAGTGCTGTTTATTACCACCCCCTAAATAAGGGGCAGCAACATATATGGCATACTTTTGGAAAAAGAAAAAACAAAAGGAATTAAAAAAACTCTAAAGATTGAGAGAACACCAAAAACCATGATGAATTGCTTTTCTTGCTCAAATAGTTTAAGAAAAAAAAAAAGAGATTAAAATGAATGGATTTAGAGAATCATTTAAAGCCAGTCAATTTCAGAATTTAATATGAAATCTACATTTCCCCCAAGAATTAGTAAATATAATTACATTAAAGAATTTTCAAACATGTCTCTGTAGCTATAACAGTTCAAATTTACTTGTCATTTCCCTGTACCTCCTTTTATAAATTATTTCATTCTTTGAAAATTATCTAAGAAAATTAATTCAAATTTTTCTAGTATATAGTTTGATTTAACATTTCCCAAACAAGCCAGCAGGTATCGGTTGCCTGATATATCAAAATCAATTGTCATATTTTAAATAGTATGTTACCCAGTGAATGAATAGATTGGAAAATTGCTATACTATGTCAAATTCCATTCCAATAGACCTCTGAAAACTCAGGTTAATAGTCCACTAATTTCAAACCATATTTAAAATAAAATTCTACTATAGTCCACTGTTCTGACACGTGATATGTGGACCATAGGGGAAAAAATATTGTCTCTACTATAAAAGGTTTAACATAAAATAGTTAACACATTATACTGATAGCATGCTAATATTTAATTTTTAAAAAATTTTGAAGGGGACAAACATTTATCATCAAAACTCAGGAGCTCTGAAACTTACAAAGACCTAAAACAAGTGCAATTTAGAACTGCATTCTGCAATTCAAAAGTACATACATATAAATACATTTATACACAACGGGAAAAAATACAAACAGAAAACAAACCATGAAGTGCTTTAATGGTGTTCTCTCAAAAACTTACAGGTTAACCTTTCATAAAAAAAGGGGTGGGGGGAGTAAAGAAAAATGTTTAAGGATTACTTGAAGCAAACTACACAGATAATACTAAAATTCAGCAGATTCATATGAAGCAAGAGAAAGAAAACCTATGTTCAAAAGACACAAACTATGCAACATTCTCATTAAACAGGCAAGTATGAACAATCCAATGAAACATGCGATAAAGCAGATGATGGTCCATTGAAAAAGTTCAGTGTAGGATATACTAATTAGAAAAAAAAAGCAATAATGGCGTACTAAGGAATTGGCTTTATGAAATAGTGAGATAATGGTAATTAAATTGCTAAAATTATAGATAATGATTTTCATTTAATAATCAAAAACCCACTCTCTTTTGGATAAGGAATAAAGAAGACAGAATTTTATGTAGTCATTTGCAGTTAAAAGTAATCTAATGAATATCAAGCTCGTTTCTCAGTTTGATTGAATCCATCAATTTGTAGAGTATTGTCAATTACCTTATTATTTACTTGATATAATCATATATAATGTAGATCTTCTATATAAAGCCAATTTGCTAAAGGAACTAAATAACAAATTCATCAGCTGATATCCCACAAGAAACTTTAATATACATTACACTCAACATTTATTTGCAGTTATGCATTCACATTTAAAATAAATAGGAAGTTTTGTTTAGGTTCAACAATAATTTTATAATGGCAAGTTTTTCAAATCTGAATGTCATGTATAGGTACTGCATTCTAAGGAGATAAAAGTCTGACAAGGTTTCATAACCATCCTAATAGACTTTCATACTTTTCAACAAGAAAATCTAATTAACTTTGTGAAGTAAACAGTACCCATACAGCCAAACAGCCAGATAACCGTTTCATATTTAAAAGATTTCCTTCCATACCAATAAACAATGTCAGCTTTAATTACGTAAAGACAAAAATCAACTCTATAATTTAAAAATACCAAATTAAAGTGTCTCTGAAAACAAACTTTCTTATTTGGAAAACCTTATTTCACTCTTTGTTTAGTATTTAGTAAGAACCTCATTGACTATGAATAAATTACTAGAATTATGTTAGGATATAAAGAAAGGGATGTGCCTGAATGAATACAGAACTTAAATCTTTCATTATTAGCAACGATCAGGGATGGTGGAAAGAATAGGACTCAATCACCCTAAGTGTGTTCTATAGTATGGAAGGTACTCTTTAATATAAACATGCTCTTGGTAAATGCAAAAGAGAAACAAGCCTCCTAAATAAAACTCCTATAAGGAACTGCATGAGTTCCCAACTGAAGGAAATTTTATGATGAAATACAAAATACAAACGCCACAGTTAACCAGCTAGTCACTGAATTGCAATCTATTTTTGGCCAGATTTTCATAGATTAAAAAATCAGCACTTTGCATCTCTCAGTTACACTCTGGATTAATTAAAAAAGCAAAATTCATACAGTTCAATAGTTAGCTGGAATCCATTTTAGGGAGTATTAAAACATGGAAATAGGGGAGAAAAAAGTATTTTTCAAATGTTTCCGAAAACTGGTTATGGAATGTAGTTAAAAGAATACATTTTGTTAGTGAGAATTCAAAATAAATATAATAAAAAGCTGAGTTTTTAAAGCTAGTTTATTGCTTTGGTTTCTCTACGCATCTTAATATTAAAAGACAACTAATTTTCTCTTCACCATAACAGTTCAGTTATATGGTACCTGTATTCTCTAACAACGTCTTTGGTGTGTTGGGTCTGTTAATGATTTCTACAAGCTGGTGCAACACCATAGGAATATAAGGCTGCATCTCTATACCTAGATCATCCCACAAAAAGAGAAAAAAGAAGAAAAAAAAAGAAAAAAATGAATGTTAAAACATTAGTGTACATTATGCTTCCCTTATTAAATGTGACATAGCTTTATATGTATATATGTATGCACACAAATATTTTTAATTAAATTTAAAAAAAGCAAAAAACCAATTATGAAAACATTAACAAGTCTAAATCTAAAAATTTATACTTTTCTGGGAGTGGAAAACCTCTTACCCATTTGAATGGAGATTTCTCCAATTGCCCATGTGGCATTGTTGCAGACTGAAATGAACTCCGGATTTAGATTGGTTCCCAATATTGGCATGAAATCGGCTTGGAAAAAAAAAAAAAAAGAGAAAACTAAGTAATAAACTTCTAAATAGTAGTCTATTAAATTTCAAAGGGAACCTACTCAGTAGAAACATAAATCTAGGCAAAAAATGTTTCACCATTTTTTTTGTTTATTTTAACAATTGATGGAAAACACTTCTTAATGGCTGGTAAAATTTATCTTAGGGAACAGAAGGAGGTAATTGTCTGGCTACTGAATTTTTATTTTGAATTAATCCAGGAAACTGAGTTTTGGCCCATTTTAGCTATCTTTAGAAATCGAGTAATCTTTTTGTGAGACTAAGAAAATTCAAATTAAAAGTGAGGAAAACACAGCCAGGCACAATGGCACATGCCTGTGATCTCAGCGGCTTGGGAGGCTGAGGCAGGAGGATGCTAGTTCAGAGCCAGCCTCAGCAATTTAGGGAGGCTTTGTCTCTAAATAAAATACAAAAACAGCTGGTGGATGTGGCTCAGTGGTTAAATGCCCCTGGGTTCAATCCTGGGGGCGGGGAGGAGTAGAGAAAACATGATAAAAATGGAATTTTCCTAAAAAAAAAAAATAAATAAGTAAAAATAAACAAAACAATCCATGACTTTGGTTTTAAAGCAACTTTCACTCTAGTGCCCAATTTGAAGTCTTTTAATATTACTTTCCACTAAAAGAAAGGAGGGCTTGCAAAGAAATATCTCATTATAGGAGAAGGAAGGAAATGTGCAAAATAAGTCTAGACAGTCTTGCTATAACAGAAAAAAACCCAGGGACCAACTTGATTCAAATTCCACTGCTAGCAGCATGACAATTTGATTATGACTTCATAATGATGTTAAAACACACACACACACACACACACACGCTAAAACACAAAAGATACCCTTGGAGGATGCTGGGAATCAAATAGTTATTTTGAAAATTGATAAATAAAGAGAAGCAATCAAGTAATTACCCTGTACCTCTTACATGATTTGTACTTCAGGGTAACAATTAATATGGCAAATGCCTCTTTTACATATATTCTCACTGTTAAATAAAGAATGAGAATATCATGATGGGGGGCAGTAACCAGAGATCAAAACCAGGGGTGCTTAACCACTAAGCCATATCCCCAAGCTTTCTTAGTTCTTATTTTGAGACAGGATCTTAAATTGCTTAAGGCCTAGCTACGCTGCTGAGTTGGCTTTGAATTTGTAATCCTCTTCCTCAGTCTCCAAAACTGTTGGGATTACAGGAATGTCACCATATTTGGTCTATTATAACTACAGGCGTGGGCCACGATGCCCAGCATAATAAATTTTTAACTCTTGATAAATTAGTGGGTTGCAATGGTTTGAATGCCTTCTCCAAAACTCAGGCCAACATTTAATTAATTGCCCCTATGATGGTATTAAGAGATGGAAACTTGCTGAGTGTGGCAGTACATGCCTATAATTCCAGTGACTAGAGGATCAAAGGTTTAAAGCCAGACTTCCAACTTTAATGAAAACTTAAGCAACTCAGCAATAAACAAAAAATAAAAAAGGATGGGGATGTAGCTCAGTAGAAAAGTGCCCTTGTGTTCAATTCCTGGTACCAAAAAGAAAGAAAGGAAAAGAAATGAGCTGGGTATATAGCTCAGTTGGTAGAGTGCTTGCCTTGTATACACAAGACCCTGGGTTCAAACCCCAGCAACACCACCAAAAAAAAGAAATGAGTTGGGGAGAGTGGGGTGGGAAGTTTAACAGGCTGTGCATGGTGATGCATAGCTGTTATACCAACTACTTGTGATGCTTAGGCGTGGAGATCACAAGGTTGAGGTAGGACAGCAAAAAATCCCCATCTCAAAAAAATAAAATAAAAAAGGGCTGGAATGTAGCTCAGCAATAGAGCACTTGCCTCACATGTACAAGGTCTTGGGTTCAATCCCTAGTACAAAAAAAAAAAAAAAAAAAAAAAAAAAGTGTGTGTATGGGGGTTAGATCCTAAGGGCTTTGCTATTCATGAATGATTAGATCTATTCATTTAATCATGAATAGATTAATAATGTTATTGTTGGTATGGATTTCTGATAAAAGGACAAGAATCCCGGAATCTCATTAAACCTGAATCTAGATCTAAGTGCCAATGTATTAGTGAATAAAAAACTTTTACTGTTGGGATACAATAAGAAGGCTCTCATTACATATGAGCCTCCAGAACCATAAAATAGGATTTCTCTCAATGGGCCAGATCATTCTTTGTTTTAGGGGAAAGGATGTGTTACAGGATATTTAATCCATCTATTATAGGATATTTACAAATACCTTCTGCCTATATGCAATGAATACCAGTAAAACACCTCCCTAATGTTAAAAAAATGCCTCAACATAGTGGAAAATATTCCTTCGAGACCAAAATTGCCCCACTAGAACCACTAATCTAGACAATACTCATTATGATTGACAACATTACAAAAAAAGAAAACAAATTAAATGAAATCTAGATATCAAATGCCTCTTCAAGAAAGTACACAATACCACTTACCCTGGAATCTCACTGAACCTGATTCTAGATCTGAGTGCCAATGTATCAGTAAATACAAAACTTAGAAGTATCTTCAATGGCACCAGAGAGATGCAATTAGTAAAATACAGAGTATGACAAACTATTTAGGACAAAACAAACAAAACAACAACAACAAAAATCCTTGGTTTAACAGCAGAAACAAATGAAAAGAATTTTCAATACTTCTGTCTATGGATAGTGGCATAGAGGAGATAAAATTGTACATATACTGACACCAGTTATACTGACACAGTAATAGAAAGCTTATTATACTTTATTGTTTTAAAAAATTTTAATAAAAAGTTTAAAAATTATCTTTAATTAAAAAATAATAGGTAATAAATATTTGTATGACTAGCTCCCCACAATATAAGCATTCATTATATTTTTATAGTGGTTGGGTTTAAATCTTTAGTATGGCTCTTAACATATCCTAATGTTATTACTCAAAGTCTAGAAATTATTATTATTCAAAAGCACAACTGTAGCAGGTAAAAAGCCGTGTAGGTGTTTTAAATTAGGTTTAAATAACATTATAAATAATTATCACCACAGAAAGGAAGGAAAAAAAAAAAAACCCAAATCACTTGACCCATAGGTTTGAGAAACTGAGATTACAATATTTAAGGAATCCCTTATTATCTTCATAAAAGGTTAGGATAAGTGCTATGCTATTAAAAACAAATATATATAATTTATTTTGTAGTACTGGGAATCAAGAACTCTATTGCTGAGCTCTGTGCCCAACCCATCGTTTGTTTTAAAAGTGATATTTATTTAAAATTTCCTAGATATCTGAAAAGGTATGCTGGTGCATTAAAGAAAAAAACCTGATACTATTTCTGGGTACCACTACCAAAAAAGAGGCTACTTATGAAGATGCCTGACTAGCACTCAGTATGAAGGCTTCATTGGTGGGCATGTCTGTTAATTCTAAATTGGTACTACTCACAATTTCTTCCAGTCACAGGACTGCCTAAAGGGCTGCTGAATAGACGGTGAGCTCAAGGAAACTGGAGTTCCCACATCCTACCTGCTTCGATGAAAGCACCTTTACATTGGCCAGTAGTAAAACTATATACTTATAAACGTTGAGATTCCACAAAAATTTTTAATAAAATTTAGTAAAAAGCAAATCTAATGTAAAAATAATTAAAAAAAAAAACACATCCACAGCAGAAAATATTCATACCTATACAAGGTTTAACATGCTGAAAGCAAGCCTTAGTCAGGTCACCTAATAGGGCAAAGGAACTCTGTCGAACTTCTGGCATTTTATCCTGTAAGAGAGAAGAAGAAATTAATCCCAAGGTGACAGGATGAACCAGGTTTCGATTCATTTTAATCTTACAAATCTTACCTGCATGCATTGATACATTAGTGTTAGGATGTTACTTCTGGCTACTAGCTGTTCAATGTTGCCTCCAAGACCTTCAGCCAGCCCACTGAGTAAATCAAGAGCCACTATCATAAAATCTTTATCTGGAGCCTCATATTGATCTGGTTGAGCATTGTTCAGCTACAATTAAACACATTTTATTTTTAATCAATTACTGAAAAAGTTTGTATACTTTATGTCTAACTTTAGATATGAAAAGAAAATACCATGGCTTGTGCAAGAGTCTTTTGTACTAGATTCACACAACGCTGATACACAGGTTCACAGTATGGAAGGAAGCCAGACTGCAGGGCCGTGGCAACTGATGATAGGCACTAGAAAGAATAAAGTACACATGCTAAAATATTCTGGGCAAACTTAAGATTGTGATAAATGCTTAAAACAACTCAAAAGGATCCTAGTTGTTTATGAGTCTGCTCTACTACTAGTCTAGAGCAACCAGTTTATCTTTTCAAACCCCTCCTTTGGATGTCACTATTGTTGTCAGCTTGCCAGCCTATCAGGAGAGGTTAATTCAGAAGAGAATGTAAAGAAGTTTTTATAATGAATTTGTCCTTCAAGGACAGACTATATGTTCAAAATTTCCCTCAAATATAAGTGATAATTTATGCCCCTATTCCAAAGATGTGGCTAGACTTTACTGGACACATGGAGTCCTTGTTTAAAAGTAAATATACATAAACATATTTAAACCCTCTATCCATGGATTCAATTTGTGGTAAAAAATATTAAGAGAAATAAAAAAGAAGGTGCATTTGTATTAAACATGCACAAATTGGGGGAAGGGTGTTGTTATTCCCTAAACAATAGTATGCAATAACTATGATTCTTTTTGTTCTGTTAGAAATTAGCTGTTTTTCTTAGTTGCAGAAGATTTTCAATTCCTGTCTAGGGATAATCCATGGCAGAAATTGGTGACCCTTAATTTTATACGGGGAATAAAAATGAAAATGACTCAAACTGGCTCTAATAAAGTCAATTCAAGTAGGTCTGTCATGTTTCATACTGAACACCATATAAAATATCTTTAAAGAAAAAAATAATAAACATACATGGAAAAAATTTCAAATTAAAAAAATACAAAGTGAAGTCTCTCCACATCAGCAAAAGTCCTAAAGCCACTTCACATGTAATGTGAACAGATAACACAAAACAACAGAAAACATATTATAAATACATTTATTATCCATAGAGTAGTTAGAGTACTGTACAATAAAACCCTTTGTCTACTTTTAAAAAATATAATGTTCATTACACTTTTTCTATTTAACAGTAATTCTTCATATGAATGCATTGTAACTTAAGTAACAAGAAGTTTTGTATTTATTCAATATTAAAACAGAAATGGTGCTGAATATATCAACTTATTAACACTATTATCATAAAACCCATTTTGGATTAAAACATGTATTTTTGATGATACACCATGTTAAATTAGCTAAATATTACCAGCCCAGCATACCTCAAGTAAAGGAAAGAGATCTTTATCTTCATCCTTTAACATGTTCCATTTCTGGATCAGTGGAGGCATTAGCATCTGAATATATTCCTATTTACAATGATGAAAAACATGTAAAGCTCCACTATCATATGTAAATAAGTCCATTGAGTCTACTGAAAATTAAAATCCATTTAGAGCAATTGTGTAAAATCATTACAGAAGGCATTTTAAGACTCATTCTTTACACTAAATAGTTACTTTAAAATTTTTTGCCTACTTTTTCATTTAGATGACCATGTCATCTTATATTCTTTTCGAAACAAAATGTACATCAATAAATACATCACTACATCAAAATGTAGTGTTTGTTAAATTACAAAAGAACATTTAAGTTCTACTCTTCTGTAACAGAATGTTACATGTAAAATGGAATGTTACAAAAAAAAGCTTTGCTTTTATATAGCACATTATAAATGAACAGATAAACTTACATGAGGAAAAAGATTCACAATTAGCAAAGAGAATGTATTTAAACTGAAGAATAACCAATAAAAAAGCCAATAATCATAATAATCATATAAATAAGCGGTACAGATTCTGAAGACACCCAGAAAACACAACCTATCCTCCAATCAAACTAACACCAAAGGAATCCTACAAACCAACCATCTTAAACATCTTAAGACTTTTGATTTAGCAATCACATGTATCAAAACATTTTTCAACTCTTCACCAGGGAAATTAAGCTACACTAAAATTCTATCGTCATATAAATCCTAGTCAAACAAATCTACTCTCCTCTTCTACACTATTACTACAGACAAGATCCTTTTGTACCACATAGCATTTTTAACCTATTGCCTCAATTTCTAATTGTTTCATATAGTACACCCAATATACTTGCACATTCTGAAGAAAAAACTAGATGTGGTAATTAAAAGTTAGTGTTTATAAAGTGGTAGATACAAAAACACTTGGAATTAAAGAAAAGTAGGAATCTAGAATATAAATTTTTTTCTTTTCCTCTAGTCACGCATTGGTGCATTCCTAAGAGATGCTATTGTAATTTCCACACTATTTGAAAGGATATACTTGCTGCCTTTCTAAGATCTATATTCTTAAAGAAGCAAAAATTAACTTCATATTTCCAAGTCTTTTTATTTCCAAATTCAAGCTAACTTATTGAAAATAGCTTAGATACTTACTGGCTTGTTTAAATGATGTCCTACTGAATCTGCTAATGTTCCTATGGCGTCATAAAGAATAAGCAGGTTCTTATGTTGGTATTTACTAAATGCGAAGACCAGGGTATCAAGTATATAAGCAAGGTAAGGAACAAGTTCTGTACAAGCCTCCTCTTCTAGGGTAGCAAAGGCACTAAAATTTTTAAAAAAGAATATTTATTGTTGTGTAAAAGAAATAACTTACAATAGATAGGAAACAATCTTATTTACAGAGTACCTATTTACATTTTATATTCCTTGCCTCATCACACACACCCAGTTGCTTATTTTTACTATTTCTTTTCCATTGTTTAAAATCACTTTTTCGTTTCAAAGAGGCCGTTTCCATGGGTATCTGCTTAACTACAGTGGTAAAAACTGTAAATGTTGTTCATCCGTGTATTTACTAATTCAACAAGTTTATTTAGTGCTGAACTATTTATGTAATCACTGAGTAATGGGAATATGGTCAGGAGAAAACAAGCCTCTCTTCTCAGGGAGCTTGGATTGCTCTGGATTAGTGAAACTGGAATTAAAACAGTTAAATTCTACTTTACACCTCATCCTTCATATGCACAAGCACATCAAGGATTATTATAGTAACACAGGAAAAACTTGAGTCTCGGTGCAATTACTTCAACTTGATATCTAAATGTCTTGATATTGTAAAAATGAAAACCTTAGTCATGCCAATGAAAGTCCTACTCATTAGCATTCAGAACTATTTATCCATTACCTTTCTAGCATCTGCCATAAATTACAAATACACAGTTATTAGGCATTTCCTACTATACTGTAAGTTTCAAGATGGCAGAAACTATAATCCTAGCATCTAATATGTGTAACAACTAGTAGCTAAAAACCAACAACAAAAAAATCAAAATGTACTGAATGAATAAATCACAGGAAACCAATCTATATTCTTCTCCAACTTTTAAAAAAAGATTTAGTGCTATCAATCACCATAGCCCCCTTGTTCAGCTTTTCCCGATCTCATTAAGAATTAGAACTCTTCTAGGTATTACTGCTTCAGACCTAGTAAGGTTCAACTCAAATTTACTTTCCTCTTTGCAACAGTTATTCTTTTTCTGTTAAAAAAGTCAATGGGAGCTGGGGTTATGGCTCAGTGATAGGGCGCTGACCTAGCATGCGTGAGGCACTGGGTTCGATTCTCGGCACCATGTACAAATAAATAAATAAAGGCCCATCAACAACTTAAAAAAAAAAAAAAGGCAAAAAGAGTAAAGCTATTATGAATAAGAAGGGGGAAAAAGTCAATGGTAAGCCAGGTAGGGTGTGCATGCCTATAAAACAGCAACTTGTGATGCAGAGGCAGGAGGATTAAAAATTCAAGCCCAGCCTGGGCAACTTAACAAGACCCTGCCTCAAAATAAAAAATAAGGACTGAAAACATAACTCAGTGGTTAAGTGCCTGGGTTTAATTCCCAGTTAAAAAAAAGAAAAAGAAAAAAGAATCAATAATAGAAGCAATTCTACTTGAAAAAGAGTGATAAGTGGCAGCCTTTTTAGAACACAAAGGTTTGTTCTAGGAACCAAATACCTGTGTTAATGAAAGCAGGAGGTTTGATTTATAAAAGAGAGACTCAAATCTAACTGACAGATAGCTAGGGGCACAGATCCACTAAGCATCACAAGTCACAGATAAGGCTGTTTCCCTGTAGTATGCTATTTTTAAGTCCTTTTGGGTATACAGACTGAGGAGTGGGATAGCTGGATCAAATGGTGGTTCTATTCCAAGTTTTCTAAGGAATCTCCATACTGCTTTCCATATTGGTTGCACCATTTTGCAGTCCCACCAGTAATATGTATGAGTGTGCCTTTTCCCTCACATCCTCGCCAACACTTATTGTTTGTATTCTTAATTGCTGCCATTCTGACTGGAGTGAGATGAAATCTTATAGTAGTAGTTTTGATTTGCTTTTCTCTAATTGCTAGATGAATATTTTTTCAAATATTTGTTGATTCACTGTATATCATCTTCTGAGAAGTGTCTGTTCAGTTCCTTGGCCCATTTATTGATTGGGTTATTTGGTTTTTTTTTGGTGTGAAGATTTTTGAGTTCTTTACATATTCTAGATATTAGTGCTCACGCAGCCACATCAATGTTTACAGCAGTGCAATTCACAATAGTTAAATTGTGGAAACAACCTAGATACCCTTCAGTAGATGAATGGCTGAAGAAAATGTGGTATATATACACAATGGAATATTATTGAGCATTAAAAGAGAATAAAATCATGGCCTTTGCAGGTAAATGGATGGAGCTGGATAATATAATGCTAAGTGAAATTAGCCAATCATAAAATACGAAATGCCAAATGATTTCTCCGATTTAAGGATACTGATTCATAATATGCTGGGTGGGGGGAATGGAGGATTAAATGAACTTTAGATAGGGCAAAGGGGGAAAGGAAAGGAAGAGGTATATCGGTATAGGAAAGACAGTGGAATGTGATGGTCATCATTACTCTAAATACATATATGAAGACACAAAGGATGTGACTCTACTTTGTGTACAACCAGAGGAATGAAAAATTATGCTCTATTATGTGTAATATGAGTTATAATGCATTCTGTTGTCATGTATAACAAATTAAAATTAAAAAAAAAATTAAAAAGTCACAGATGATAAGTGACAAACCATAAATTTGTAGGACTTTCTGTGGAGTTATGGTAATTGACCTGTAGACTAAGAATACGAATCTACTCAAACTTTGCTATTCCTTTAAGAGTAGAAGTTCTGCCAGCAACACTTCAGTTGTCTGAGAGAATAAGGATGTGAGATAACTCTACAGTTATCATAGCCACTGAATGGAAAAAAGAACAAATTGAGGAAGAAAAGCAAAGACTGAATGAAATTCAGATAGAATCACATTTCGATGCATAAAAACATCAGGTAACAGTTGTAAATAGAAATTTATCAGCCTAACAAAATGTGCAATTCCCAACAATACATATCAGTCCTATAAAAAATTCACTAAGAAAAAGCAGGGAGGAGCCAAGTTTGCTGGTACACACCTATAATCCCAGTGACTCTGGAGGCTAAGGCAGGAGAATCTTGAGTTCAGAGCCAGCCTCAGAAACTTAGTGAGACCCTGTCTCTAAATAAAATATAAAAAAGGATGGTGATATGGCTTAGTGGTTAAGTACCTGTGTGTGTTCAATCCCCAACATCAAAAAAAAAAAAAAAAGGGAAACAACTTCTATTGCTGGAGTTTTCTGTTATGAAATATTACATTAATATTAATGGTTTAATGTCAACATTCCATCACAAGTTTGAAAATGTGTCTCTCACTTAATTACCAATTCCATAATGAAGACTATGTTATAAATTTGTCCCACCTGCAGGCAGCTTCTTGTACTCTCTTGTTGCTATCCAGGATACGCTTTAGCAATTCTGTCATTAATGGCTTCAGGTACGTGTCTGGTGGCTGGCTAACTACCCAGTGTGCATAGCGGCTAAGTGTCCAGCATGTTATGGAGCGCACAAGAGCCTTTTTATCAGAGAGGCACTGAATAAGGTGAGGAATAAGCTCAGGCAGGTATGGAATCATGCCCTGCATGCAACCTAGAAAAAACAAAATAACAAAAAACTTTCAAAAGGTGCCAAATGTGGTTTAAAATTTTTTAGTTGAATACAAAAGTGACACATGTACCCATGAAAAGTATTCAGTGTATTCTCACTGCTGTAAATATATTATAATAATCTATACCAACATTACTTTAAAATAATGGAAAACAGACTTAAATGCTCCGCTGAAGTTCTTTTTAGTAGGATTAGGACTTCATTTTACCTCTGCTAAAAAATTACAGCTTGCAGAAATGCCTATGTTTTATTTCTTGTAGATGAATGTTTACAACCAAAACAAGATCTTTATACAGAATGATGATACTCCTGTTTTTCTCAGGTTTCCCAAACTTCTTAGAAAACAAAGCTATTTTTCTAGCAAAAATGCTTCAGACATCAGAGCCCTTTTTGTTCCCTCTACAATAACAAAAATATCTGCAAAGTGACCTGTCTAGGATAAGAAGTAAATCCAAGACTGTTTGATCATTTAAAAATGGTTCAAAATAGAATAGAAACTTATCCCAAGATGGCTTTTGGATTCAATGATTTCTTTTAGTTTAATATGGATCACAGTTTTGTCTATGCCATACTGGCTTTACCAGAGAATAATCCAGTATGTAAATCCAGAGTGAACCCTCTTTGCTTACAGAGTAACAATTCCTTAAAGTAGCCCAGCCTTATACCACGTATTGAGGACTTTACAATCGAAAATGGACTTACCTTCAGCAATTGCTCCTAAAACCAAGATGCCTGATTCTTTAATAACCCATTCATGATGAAAAAGCAATTCTTTCAAAAGGGGCAAAATATGTGGCAATAGCTCATCACGATATACATTTGCAAGAACATCTAAGGCAGCAGCAGAACATTTTCCTAAGAAAATATTTAATTAAAAAATAATTATATTAATCTCTATTATCACTTAATTACGTATTTAAACATAAATACTATATGTATAATGTTTTAGTCATACCTTTAGAGTTAAGAATTCAATTAAATAGAGGGTAGTCACATGAAAAGAATCTATTAAAGAGAATATGCTTTTATGACAAAGAATTAGCAAAATAATTATGCAGACATTTAATTCTGTACATGGAGGTCAGACTAGAATTCTACTGACTACATAGAAAAATTAAAATGAATACTGTTCCACTCCATTCAATACTTCCAAAATAGGATACCTACTGTTAAAATCCTGAGGAAAAATAATATACTAATTTATTAATTCCATTTAACATTTCTAGTGGTAGACCATTTAGAATCAAGTATATAATCATTTGGCTGGAAGTTAGGCCCATAAATTGGAACAAAAGTCACCACCAAATGAAGCATAAAATGTTAGAAAATATTCTTTACAAAGGATTAACTATAAAATAACTTGAATTTTATTAACCCAACAACTTAGGTAAGAACCAATGACAATATAAAGCACAATAATTTTTCCAATGTGAAATAAGAATAATAGCAAATAACTAATTACAAACTATTAGAAATGATACAATTCTTAAAAAAAAAAAAATCCTGATTCTAATGCCATCCCATCAGACAAAGTTATGGGTGGAAGGGGAAATATAAGGAAATGCTTGGTTGCCATTCTATATGGAAGCACTGAAGTCTGAGAATTATTTGCTTTCAATATAATTGTAATAGATTATCCCTTAAAAAACAAAATAAAACAAAAAAATTCTTTTCTGGCATCTTTTCTAGAGTAGGAAAGAAAGAAATGGAATCACAGAGGATGCATCTTGAAATTCACAGTTATGGTGAGAATTGCTTCTCACAAGTCCTGAGCGATTGTGACTGTCTTGGGTTACTGTGGGATTTTCTTTCCCCCACATTTCATTGGAGTTTGGCTTAAATGATGAAAACATGTGTGTCACCTAATACTTGTAGCATGGCTAAATAAATATACGCTCAAAAAGCAAAAAAACGCTGTTATGTCAGTCAAGTAACACCTTAACCATCAAAAAGAATCTTAGTTACACTATATGCACGCTGGATCCATAGAATTGAACAGTACAGTGACATGCAACAGACGACTGATATAAAATGAGGTATAGGCTTCATAGAAAGGCAGAGCAGCAAATTGCATATAATCTAATTTTGTTTTTGAAAATTTGACTTCAACTTTAATATGTTTTACCATATGTAAAAAAAAAAAAAAAAAAAAGCAGCTTCTGGAAGGATATAAAGATGAGTAAAAGGATGTGAAGAGGAAGTGTCTCTCCTCCCCTGCTTCACACACAGTACTACTTTAGTAGATATAAGTATATTCTCTTGATCTTTTCTGCCCCTTCAACTTGAAAGCAGGGATATGCAAACAGTTAATTGTGACAGTAGTGAAGACCTTGGATTATCTTGTTAAGTGCTGAGACTTGGGTTCTAATACTGGATGTGCTATCAGTAGTACCTACGTTAATCTTGCAACAGTTTTGTCTTTCTGCAGTTTCCTTATCTACCTTTAACTGCAAAGTTCTTGGCCTAGTGCCTGTACATTAGGCACTCTAATGTTACAGGAAACTAGGTAACAGGGCAAGAATTACCATCATCTAATCAAATCACATACTCTGAGCTGATAATACAAACCCCTAACCATTTTCTCAAAATTTTTTGAAATTCCAACACTAACAAAAGGGGGTGGGTTCTTTCTGGGGGTGATTTTATCTCCCAGGTGACTTCTGGCAATGTTTGGAGGCATTGTTGGTTGTCACAATGGTGTGTACACTGCTGGCATCTTTGGACAGAAGTTAGGGATGCTGCTAAACATTCTATAATGTACAGAATAGCCTCCACAAGAATTAATTATGTGGCCCCAAATGCCAATCGTGCTGAGGTTGAGAAATGCTGAAATAGAGCAGTAGTTTAAAAAAATCAGCAAGTAACCAAAAATAAAACAAAGGTGTATTGGCCCCATCCCAATTAATGTGGGTCAGAATGCCAGCTGCACAGGCTATGTGAACTTGAAGGTAAGGTTGAAAATCAACAGATTCCCAAGTTTTGAATATTTCAAAGGAATATGATAGCATGCAAATTATCACGCATTAAAAAAAACTTATGAAAAGCTATGGCAACATTCCTATTTTATTATTTCAAAATATTTAGTCTTTTGAGAAACAGTTTTAGTAAGAAGTCTGATAATTAAATACAAGAGCAGAGACTAAGTAAAATGCAGACCAAAAGCACGATGATACCCCTTCACATTTAAAAAAAAAAACAGATATAATAATAAGAGAAACGGAAACCCACAGACATTGGTGATGAGAAAATAAAATGGTGCTGCCTCTTTTGGAAAACATCCTGATAGTTCCTTAAAAGGTTAAACAAACAGAAACCACATGATCCATCATCAAGCTCACTCCTGGGCATATATTTAAGAGAAATGAAAATGTATGTTAGCATAAAAACTTGTACATGAATGTTCATGGAATCAATATTCACAATAGCCAAAAGGGAAATACAAATGTCTATCAGATGAAGAATAGAAAAATAAAGTGGTATAAAGGAATTAAGTATTGATATATGCTATGACATAGATAAACCTTGAAACCATTATGCTAAGTGGAAGAAAATGAAAATAGAAAGGACCATTCCATTTACACGAAATGCCCTAAGAGACAGATTTCATAGAGAAAGAACATAAACTGGTAATTGCCTAGGGTTAGGGGAAAATGGCGAATGACCAATAATGAGGATGAGGTCTCTTCCTTGGATGATGTAAAGTGTCCTAAAACTGATGATGGTGATGGCTGATAATTGTGTGAATATACTAAAATCCACTAAATTATGACTTCAATGGGGGAATTAAAGCTCATTAAAATTGTTATCCAAGTGGGCAACTGTATTTTTCCTTCTCCAACTTACTTAGATTCCAGTCAGAAATTGTATCATCATCATCAATTTCATCATCATCATCATCTTCCTCTTCAATTCCATCTTCATCATGCTGCTGAGCCACGGTCCTTGATCGATGAAAACGTGGTCTTATATCCTGCTCACTATCAGGAATTGTTTCATCTTCTTCCACATCACCCTTTTTCAAAGTGAAATTTTTCATGATATTCATTAAGCTAGTAATATGTACACAAGTAAAAAAAAAAAAAATCAGAATATCCAGGGATGGGGTCATATGAAGGACTGTTTTCTGTGGTACAGGGGACCAAACCCCAGAGTCTCACACATGTTCAGCAAGTACTTTACTACTGAGTCACATCTGTACTCCCAAATTTTTGAGACTGGGTCTCACTAAGTTGTTTAGGTTAGCCTTGAACTTGTGAACCTTGAATGGCTAATCATAAGCAGTGTGTCACAGTGCCTAGAATGCACAGGATTTTGAAGCATACCTCCTTGTCAACAACTACTTCCCTATCCAGAAAATAGTTCCTTGTGAAAGGGAGCAAAGGCCAACATACAATACCTATTAGGCTATCAAGCCCTTTAGCTGCACTATATATTGCCTTCCATGAGGTGGTATAATCTAACAGAATAAAATTCAGAGCAGCATATGTAAGAATAATTTAAATATAAACTCTAAGTAGTCTAAATCAAAGACAAACTAATGATAATCCTACTGTAACTAATATCAATTAAGCTAGAATTTATAACCATTTAAATTCATTGTTCTGTCTTTGGACTTTTGTAGCCTATTATATGCAACGGGCAGCCTATTTACATAGGGCTTATTCTAAATTAATGTTTTATTGGTCAAATTAAAAATCTACCAGGTCAATATAAAAGTCATCTTCCCTATTCATCAGAAGTTTCCTTACCTTAAGCAGGATAATATCTAGATCTGAGTACTTCATGCCATTCACTAATACAGGAATCAATCTATAAGAAATTAATTCATGAAACAAAACAATTTAATAGAATAAACAAGAAGTGTTAACCTTATGTACACTAATAAAAGCAATGAGACAATCACTGGTAATATTATCTTTGAGCATCCAGGTACTATAATCACCTGAAAACTCCACAAACACTAAACCAGGTATAAATTGCCTAGAGAATAATTTGTAATATTTATAAGTAACTTTAAAATGCTCATTCATATTGGTTAAAAATCACTCCCAGGAATTCCAATGTAAAGAAATAATCACTTATGACAAAGAAAGATTATTCTTCCAGGATTATTTATGACTGGAAAAAAAAGCTAATAAATACTCAATGAGAAAAATGTGCACATAGTATGCACAGATATAACAGTGCACACTATGATATAAAACAGTACAGTCATTTAAGTGTTTAAAACTAATGTTATAGAGGAAATTGCACAACACACAAAAACTGAAGAGCAAACCTTAAAACTGATCATATTCTAAAGCACTAATTATATGTGAGAAGCAATTTTAAGCACATTATACATTATCACATCTAATTCTTCCCCAAATGCTCTAAATATATGGTATTTGGTATAAGATGATTGTACAGAAAAATAACATTAAAAACCAACATATCAAAAATATAGTGATGACTTCTGCAATTCAATTTTCTTCCATGAGCCTGTAATACTTTGTTTTCAAAAAAGTAAACATTACTTTTAAAAGTCACTATTTTGGGTTAAAAATAGATAACAATAAAATTTTGCAGCATCTCAACTGGTGGAAATCATCTTTAGGAAAAAATTCCATCTTGGGATCCATGGTCAAAGTAGAAATATTATTTAAGAGAGAACTATGCCAGGCACAGTGTCGTATGCCTGTAATCTCAGCACTTGGCAGGCTGGGGAAGAAGGACCGCAAGTTCAAAGCCAGCCTCAGCAAAAGTGAGGTGCTAAGCAACTCAATGAGACCCTGTCTTAAATCAAATACAAAATAGGGCTGGGGATGTGACTCAGTGTTTAGTGCCAGAGATCAATCCCCAGGACAAAAAAAAGAGAGAGAATTATGTCATAAATGGTCCAAGATTAATTATGAATTAAAATATTCTAATTTATTAATCATGGAATTTTAAAAAGGTAATCAATTCTTGAAACTCTTTATACTTTCAACAACAGTAAAATCAAGCCTGACTTCTTTAGAACCTCAATCCCTGATGGCAAAAAAATGAATTTTATAAAAATATAAACATGGAAGAATCACTGTTAAGAAATTAAATTTAAGAACAAAGCATGATTTACAAGTAGGAACACTTACTTAGGAAGATGCCTTACGAGTACATCTTTGCATATTGGCTGCTCAGCCAAAGTTAACCAAAATTCACAGGCTTCTAAAGCCACATTTTCATCTTGGTCTTGAGTCCTCTGTAGCATGTACTGTAGAAAGAATCCTTAATATTAATCAGTTTAAATAATGCAATTAATAATTAACGTAAACTCAGGCTTGTACCATACCAAACTAAATTCAAACATATCAAACGAAATTCATTCATGATTTCCCAATGCACCTGGAGACGGACGGAATTGGGGAGTCAACTGATGAATTCCTACTACATACATGATCTTCTTCTGGACTCAAATGCCTCACATGACAAAACAAGGCAACAACAGTTGTCACATTATGCCATATCATGTCCTACTCCTATGCTGAGCATTGCTAAATAAAGAACTGTAACATTATAAATTTGGCTCCCCAGCTGTTACCTAAGCAAGTGATAAAATTTCTTAACTTTCTGATTAATGCCAAACTCTCACTAATCTTTTAACCAGCCCCACCTGGCTCTTCACAAGAGAGTTTCATCAGAGAAAACATCATTTATCCTAATTATGCTGAAACATATCATTTCTAGAACTAATTTTCCTAATGTTTGAGAACGGAAGTTGCTGTACACCATGGATGATAAGCCTTCTTCTAATGTTTCTTAAGGATCCTCCCTCTCCACATAATAAGGAACTTTTAAAGTGAAAGGGAGGCTCTACATACATATTCCTTGTACAAAATACATTCAGCAGTACTGAGTACTGCCTAAACAATAATTTGTTGTCTATTTTGTTATTGAAAAATCCCTTCCTTTCATGATGGTTAAACTGTGATTGATATACTTAAAATTTCCTAACAATTTTCTTTCAATTACATGGAGACTGAGAGTGCCTTTAAAAATCTAAATGATCTGATTAACTATATGTAGATACTTACTTTTCAGATATAAATTTACTATATATATATTTTTATTTATCAGGTAATAGTATAGCTGGAACCTCTATCCAAATTGGTATTTAGAAATGGTTTTATGATTTAAAATCACTGCACTGCAGTCATATCATATCAAAATAATTAATTCTCATATTTTTATTGGTAAACTTTCTTTAATTACAAAAGAAAGCAATAATATTTTTGGGCATGTATATTTGGAACATGTCAGAACTCTGTAGAAGTGGAATTATTGAGTGAAAATATATGCACATAAGATAGATGCCAAATGATAATGTAAAAGACTACAGCAATTTATACTCCACAAGATATCCATATCATCAACAGCTATGGTATTTATTATTTATTTTTACCTTGTATTAACTTATGTGTGAAAAAGATTTCATTGCTATTTTAATTTTTCTGATTACCAGTGATATTTTTCTTGAGGGATAAAACTTCCTTCTCAAGATAAAAAAAAAAAAAAAATCTAAATGATCTGTAGAAACTAAAATGGTCAATATCATTTTCATGACTTACAGTCAATCAGATAAATTTTACCAGTAATGTATAGGAAGGAACTTTTTAAATTTTCAACTTCAACAACCCAATAATATGGTACTTATCTCCCAAAGTTTTATTGCTTATTTAGTCTGACCCTCATTTTATAAACTCAATGTAAATATTTCCTGGTTATTACAATTAAAAGCTCTCTAATTCTTTAAATAACTTCCTCCCATAGTATCTTAAGTCTTATGAAATAAGAATCACCATAAAGATAACTAATTTTAAGATAATCATAATTCATTTTATAATCCCCCATGTGTTATATAAATTAGAAAACCAGTTTCACATTATGTATTTTGTGTCCAATATTTTTCTTGAGGGAACAATGAAGAAAGTCTTTAAACTATCGGTGTTACCTCAACTATATTATGCATGTGAGGAAGCAGGCGATCCATTCGAACTTCAAGCAACATGACAAGAGCCCGGCACACATTTTTTCGTACCTCTGGTTCCTCATCACCAGCCAAAGCAAAGAGATTCTATTGCATGAGAAACACAATATTTTTTTCTAGTTAAAAAACTCCAACATATTAGAAATGTTTATGTATAATAAAAAGAAATCTGTAAGCTAGTGATCTTTAAAGAAAACTTAAGATATAATACCAAAAAAAAAAAAGATTTAATTAAATGGCTTAAAAAAAAAAGGACAATTAAATGTATAACAACTSCCAAAGATTTTTGAAAACAGATGAAAAGCCATTCTCTTACAGTATAATCAGTTGTGTTTTGAGTTAATTTTTGTTTATAAGAACAAAACGGTTTCATTAGAAGACAGGGCACCCGGAAACAGAGGTTAACAACCTAACCCTACATTGCTGCTGCTCACAAAGTCAACTATAGGAAAAGAATTATAATAGCAATTACAGCAATCAATCTTAAAGCTATTCTTCACAAGTTCCTCTATGAGCTAAAAAAGAATGTATGAATGGAAAATAGATTATTTCATTTAATCTTTTTTTTTTTTTTTTTTTTTTTTGCAATCACACAAGAATCTTTATTGCAAGCTTGAGCCTGGACTCACAACTGTTCCCGACGCAGCGGTCCCAGGGAGTGAGTCCTGGGACTTTGTTCAGTGAGGTTTTATAGGTTTTGGGGGGGATACTATACTCTATGCATCACAACATCACACAGCAAATCATTCCATACTGCAGGAAAAATCAAACAATAACTCTTTAACATTGATTAGCACATTCAATGGCGGGAACAAGTTGGGTAGGGGTGACTGGTTAGTAAAATAGGGGGATTCATTTGAACTGATTGGTTTAGGCCACGAGGGGTGTACGTGCTAAACTATATGGTTTCCCAACATGTTATCAACATTGAATTTTACAGATAAGGAACTAGAAATCAACAAAGGATAGGGAGGAGAACAATGATAGACATGCAAGCATCTGTAAGGAAATATAATTTAGAAGAAATTAAATGCTTTCTGTATTTATCTTTTATCTGGAGATAAAAGTTCTTCAGGATTACACTCAGTGGGGACAAAAATATTTCCTGACAATTTAAAATAGTTCACATTACAGTTAAATACCACATGGTCAAAACTTTGCTACCTGAAAATCCTACAGTCAGTTTTCTTCTCTACAGAAGTCACAAACCTCTGGAGGAAATGCAGACATCCAGTAATTCCTCAGTAATGGTAGGCCTAGCCAGTGAGGAATCTGAATTTGGTTTGTTTGGATTCTTAAGTTCACTCTAACTTCACTATTAACAAACTTTCATTGAAAGAAGTTCTTTCTTGCAGAGGTTGCAAATGAGGATGTGAAAAAAAACAATGAAGCTTTCCTTAAGTCACTCAAGAATCTACACACACTGAAAGTAGTAAAAAAAAAAAAATCATTAAAAAAAAAATACACAAAATCCAATATGTCCCAATGTTTTTTTTTTTTTCTTCAGAAAATCAGTCTCTCTAAAAAAAATGAATTGTTTTTTCCAGGTTTTATTGGTGCATTATAGATGTACACAATGTTGGGATTTGTTGCTATATATATTTATATATGCACACAATTTAACAGTATAATTTGGCCAGTATTACCTCCTATTATTTCCCCTTTCCTTTTCCTTCTCTCTCCCTGGAACCTGAAACTTCATTACAAAAAAGACCAAAGAGAAGTGCAATGATTAAATGTGACACTAGGTGAAGTACTGTTAAAGTAGCAATTTTTAAACTTCAATTTTTCCAAGTCCTGCTCCTATTTCTGACATCCAATTCAGTAGGTTTCTTTTAATCACAGATATTTTATAGGGCCAAAGAAGAAAGCTCTTCCCAGAAGGTGTTACTTATATATTACACATGTACCCTTCGTTAAATTTTACTAAAACCATTTAATTCATTTTTTACCTCTTAGAGAATAATAACTGGGCTAGAGGGTGACAGTGTCATGTGTTCAATTAATCACCATGTACCCATTATCTTCATTACTACTATCACTGAATGAATACCCAGGTTTGCCAAGGTATATGTACTGGTAACAAATAGACTTCTCATTAACATTCTGTGAAACTTAGCAGACATAACATCAGCCCCTGAAGAAAACATTCACAATTAAAGAAAATGATTAGTCTATTAATCCATTTAGCAAATTATTACTGAAGGTCCACTATGTGCCAGTTATTTCCTTATAGGTCTATTATCATGTAGGATTAGCAAAGATGCTTTACTATGGTACTTATCAGTAATGTAAAACATTATAAAATGCCAGGAGATTTTTAAAAAAATATTTATTTATTTTTAAGTTTTAGGTGGACACAGTATCTTTATTTTACATTTATGTGGTGCTGAGGATCAAACCCAGTACTCGTGCATGCTAGGCGAGCACTCTACCACTGAGCCACAACCCAAGCCCAAGGAGATGTTCTTGACCCACTCACTGAGGATTTTTATCTCCAGAAGAGAGTTTCTTTTATTCTAAATTATATTTCCTTATAAGATACTGGTATATCTATAACTGTTTCTTTTATTAAGCTGTGAAAGAATGCTACTATGATTACAAGAGAAACCTCTATTACCTCTAAATATAACAGCTAACACAAGAAGCTTGTTTTGTGGTGAGCCCTGTTATATTTTATTTATAGCAACTAGCTTTATAATAAACACAATAAGGGAAGTCAATGTCAGTCCCTTTATAGATGATAAAATAGAAAAACATTAAATAAATTAAATAAAATACCCAAGGTCACATAACTACAAAGCTGAGGATAGGCAGTCTTGTCCAAGACTTTAAAAAATTAAAAAAAAAATGTTATTTTGGGGGTACCAGGGATTGAACTCAGGGGCACTCAACCACTGAGCCACATCCCCAGCCCTATTTTGTATTTGATTTAGAGACAAGTCTCACTGAGTTGTAGCGCCTTGCTTTTGCTGAGGCTGGCTTTGAACTCTCATCCTCCTGCCTCAGCCTCCCCAGCTGCTGGGATTACAGGTGCACAACACTACGCCCAGTTTATTTTATTTATTTTTATCTGATGCTGAGGATCAAACGCAGTGTCTCACACATGCTAGGCAAGCGCTCTACCACTGAGATACAACTGCAGCCCCTTATCTAAGATTTTCTAACACTACCCAGTACATTGTATTATCTCCACTCAAAAGTATACTAAAAACACCTTGCAGGCATACTAGGGGCAGGGGGCTCAGAAAGAGCCAGGGATGATGGTATATACCTGTAATCCCAACTACTTGGGAGACAAAGGCAGAAAGATTAATTGAGCCCAAGGATTTGAGGGCAACACAGTGAGACACAATATCAAAAACCTCAAACCAAACCAAAACAACAACAAACCCCAAAATCAAGTCAGATGTGGTAGCACACACCTGTAATCCCACTGACTCTGGAAGCTAAAGCAGGAGGATCAAATTTGAGGCCAGCCTCAGCAATTTAGCAAGATCCTATCTCAAAGAATAAAAGGAACTGGGGATGCAGCTTAGTGGTAAAGCACCCTGGGTTCAATTCCCTGTATCAAAAATAACTACAAAAAAATCCTCAGAGGAGCCAATCCATTTAAAAATTAAGCAAAGAAAAAAATACCCCCATGATTCCCTTCCTCCTAGGATTTCAACAGCATGATCATGATTATCAGCAGCATGATCTCTAAAGGATTTTTAAGAACAGGTGAAAAGAAATGGACCATTTTATTAAATTTCATTTAATGAAAATAGAAGAGAAGATGCCTAAGGAACCTTAATATCTTCAACTGTTCTCAAGCAGCAGACGTTTTGAAAAGTAAATGTACTGTTTCTGGTTCATGGCCAAAAAAACTATGCTTTTATCAAAAAATGTCTTTAGAGCTGTTTGCTGAGATATAACAGTTCATTTTTTTCCCTTGACACCTCTAATTTTACAAAAAACATCAGAAATCCCTGCTTACCTATGGGAGCACAACCTGAGAAATGCATCTTTGGGCAACTCCATCATTGCATGCATCACAGTCCATTCATACAAACCTAAATAGTATAGCCTACTACATACTGAGGTTTTAGGACCACATCATATGCTGCCCACTGTTCAATGGAAGGTAATTACTATGTCCTTTTAGTCCATACCTCCAGATTCTTTATTGGGCAATTTTATCCAACCTTACAGTTTTTCATGTTTCAAATACTGGAATAACTTCCATATACAATCTGAACAATATATTGATAGGAAAACTTTTAAAGTATCAAGATAAACAGACATTTACACCTTATAATAAATGTTTGTATTACAAGCAGAAAAATTTTTATTTTCAGCTAATAAAAATTACAAAGTCTATACTGTATCCAATTTTAATACTACCAGAAATAATAAGTCAAATACTATTCACAATTATAAGTTATTTAAAAAAAATACGTGCTGCTAGCATTATTTAACATTCTTGAAAACAAATGGGGCGGTGACAAATCTTACCTCAATAAAAGAATCAATGTGCAACATCAGAGCTTGAGTCCTACTAATGATAAACTGATTGACACATGCAACAGCATGAGACCTAGAAACAAAGTTTGAAGTTTAACATATGCTCAGTGTGGTTTTTCTGTCTACAAGACTGGCAAGATATTAAACATTCTTTCATAAAAATATTTTGGTACACGCATACCATACAGACAACCACTAAAATGAAAGAGTCAAATCTCTGTGTATCAATAAAGATTGTGAACAATATTAAGTGGAAGAAAATAAAAGTTACAAAGCAATATTAGCGTTTCTAAACAAATGAAAAAAGTCTGCAAGGACATGCAAATTTTTAATAGTGGATAGCATTAAAAAGTAGAGCATTAGGTGAAGGGAACATTTTATATGCTAAAGATTATTAAATAATGTATGCATTCCTTTTGAAACAAAAATGTAGAACCGAATAAGGCATACCCAATTCAATCCTTCAGCAGCATCATCAAAAATACCCTTAATCCAATCACTTTCCCTGCCTTTACTTCTTACCTAGTGCGCACCTTGATCTCTCCTCAGGGTTATTACATAGGTCCTAGTTGGTTTCCTAAATCCTAATGTGTCGAGCCCTATTATAACCTGCCTGACACACATTAAAAAAAAAAAAAAACTTCTTCAGATTGCTACAATAAAACCTAATCTATTTTTCCTACAAAAGGCTAATGTAATATTTTAAGCTTCATGACCACATATACTTTTTACTATGCCTTCATTTTGTCCTCAAATATAGTCTTTTAAAACCATTCTTGGCGTATAGGCTATGGGCTGAAATTTCACTCCATGGGTAAGAACTAGCTAGTTAACCTTTACAATAAGGCTCCTTCTCCCCAGCCTCTATCTTTGGTTTCTATGGTGCTACAGTGAAGTTTTTTCTTTTACTATTCTAAAAGGCTTAATCCTAATTCCAGGGCCCTTTCACTTGCTGTCTCTAAAATGTTCTTCCCTTTGATCTTCCAAAGAATCTTTATTTTGTTCAGTCTCTGCACAAATGTTACCATTACAGGGAACCTCCTAGATAAAATATTTCTGTGAATCGCTGTTTACCTCTACTCTCATTTTTTTCCATTATATACATCACTACCTGAAATTATATTACTTATTGTCTGTCCTGTTTGCCTACTTTTTAAAATATAAAGCCTACAAGGACCTTTCTTTGTCTTAATTGCTGTGCCAAAAATCATTGGATTTTGACTCAGCAGTAATGGCAAGAACATCAAACATTTAAGGTATTGGGTTATAAGGAGATCTGAGTCATATTAAGTGTGTGGCACAAGGTAAGCAGTTATGATTTAAAGTCTCATCTATAAAATATCATATTTATCCATTTATTGTGGGGACTAAATTCAACAAGCAAATGTATGTTAAGTCATTGGCACAGTAAGTAAATGGGAAAAAATAATAAGAAAAGTGACTTTTTAAAGGGTTTTTAAACTGAACTTAAAAGTGTTTGTGTGCGTGCACATACTGGCAAAATTACTCTATTCTTCAAAGGCAACTATTACTACTGTTTCCAAAATAGTTTTTAGAAAGTCAATAGCAGGATGTACATTTTTTAAAAGTATTTTTTAAGTTGTAGATGGACACAATATCTTTTTTATGTGGTGCTGGGGATCGAACCCAGGGCCTCACACATGCGAGGCAAGCATTCTACCATTGAGCTATAATCCCAGCCCAGGATTTACATTTGTAAGTTCACAGTCAGACAAATAAACTCCTTTTGCCTCATGATCTTTTGTTGAAATAGCTTGCTTAATACACATGTTAGTTGTGAACATTGCCAATAAAGGAAAAAATTAGAAAATTTAACTTAGGAAAATTACCACTTATAATACTATTGAAGAAAATCAAGAGCCTAGGAATACATTTAATGTGAAAGACTGCTAAAAGTATAAAAACTTTTATTGTAGACGCCTATTTTCCCCAAATTGATCTATAAATGCAACACAATTCCAATATATATTTCAAGTTTTTGTAAAATCTGTTAGTTCTAGGGTTTACATGGAAAAGGATCCTTACTATCCTGGTTGTAAACTCTTAAAACAAAAACTTCTTCATATTGATAATCTGATGATTATGGAACAATAAAAAGAAAAAAAATGTTCCTGGTATGTATTCATATATTAGTCAATGTCTTAATGAGATCTGTCTGATAACATGTAAATGGCATTATTTCCTAAAGAATAAAAATTTTCCCAATATAATCCTTTTCCTATAGACCATAGTATTTTTATATTGGAAAAAAAATCTCTTAGAAGCAGCTGAAGCATTTAATAAGCTCAGAGTAAATTCTGCAAAGTGGAGAATGTTTCAGTTATTTTCATCTTGCAGTTTCTGCATATTTTAGATCAAATACTGTTTGGCCTATCTTCCAACATCAATTTTTGTTAGACATAACTCTTCAAATAAGTTGCTTATGATTATTTCCACTGCCCAAAGCATGTTTTAAATCTGTAAACTTAGTCAGCACGGTGGTGCACGCTTATAATCCTAGCGGCTGGAGAGGCTGAAGCAGGAGGACTGTGAATTGAGCAACTCAGTAAGACTCTCTCTAAATTAATAAAAAAAAAAAAGGGGCTGGGGATGTGGCTCAGTGGTTAAGTACCCCAGAGTTCAATCCCTGGTACCCCCTGAAAAACAAAACAAAAAAACCTGTAGGCTTTATTATTTTCATTCAATTCCAGGAGAGAATTTAAATTTACCTTATTATAAATAGTAGTATAGTACTATTGAACAGTTAGTCCAAACTAAGATATTCCAGAGCATGACTTAAAAAATTGAAAACTTATCTTGATGTAGTTTGAAGTCCCCTTGTTTAATCTGTTTACTTCTGAATACCAAAACATTCCAATATCTCTTTTTTAAATAACTGCAATTGCTAAAAGCCTCAAAAGCTCATTGCCCTAAAATAGGCCAGAATTGTTTGAGGCTATGTACATAAAATAGCAACAGAATACAATCTAGAAGCCATAAATTGACCATATACACATGGAATTTTGCATGATAAATGAGATTTTTAAATCAATAAGAAAAAAATTATTTTTATGAATATACTTACAAAAATATTGTTATTTAAATAGAAAAGACAGAACACATTCCTATCTCGTGAGCCAGGTGGCACAAACCTATATACTTCCAACTACATAGGAGGCAGGAGGATCACTTGAGCCCAGCCTGAGCAATACTGAAAGAACCTGTCTCAAAAAAAGTATCCCCATAACATGCCTACAGACACCAGATATATTTATCTATTAAACATCAAAAAGCCTCACTTGAAAATTCCTGTGTCAAACGGAACAACAGACAAAAAGGGAATGCATAGAGCGAATACATTAAGATATCCATCATTCCTTATTGACAGGAAAGTACACTAGCAATACAATGAGATATTTTATATATATTTGATTTGCAATATTTAAAGCATGACAATACCAAATGCGGAACATGTGTAGCCATAGAATCTTATTAACAGAGTATGAATTGGTACAACTTGTTCTGAAGTTTGATATTGGCAGCACTATTAATAGTAGCAAAAACCCAGATGTCACCCAAAGGCAGCCAGGGGAAAAGTGTACACCAAATTGTTTAATTGTCACGCAAGGCAAAATTACACAGTATTCAAAACAAATGGGCTATAGTGACATTATATGAATGCATCTTAGCAACATAATACTAAATAAAGTCAACAGAGATTACAATTAGTACAATGTCATTTTTATGATCCCAGGAACAAACTGATACTCCATTTGTGTATAAATGTGATAAAATTATTTAGAAAGAAATACAAGGGAAGGAGAGTTAAGATTTAAATGTAAAACTATACTCCATTTCCTCATTTTGTTTCCAAGTTCCCAACAATAATATGAGGGGACAACATTTTTAAAAGTACACAGTAAACACAAGTTAAACTTTTTAAGTTGTTAAATAATATGAATTATTGGAAACATTTATATAAAGATGAATATTAGTGCAGAGAAATTACAGAGCAGATATCCATATCCACCCAAATATACATCAAAAAGAAAAATTTTAACTAGATAAAACAGAATCTCAAGTATGTAATCATGAGTATTCACTAAATAGAAGTATTTTGTACTGCTGATCAAATGACCATCTACAAAATAAAACACTGAAATAATAATTATTAATATTTAATATCTAGCAATAGTGTATCAATTACCAGGATTATTTTATTGGATTTTTCTTAATTGCTGAGAATTACTCACAGAAAAGTTAATATTCCTAGAAGTGAAATATATAAATCACTCACTGCTTAAAATGTCAATGGAGGAGAATTTCTGGGGGACACAAACTTCTATTTAGTTAATTATGCCACAAAAATAACAGTTTGAAAATATACTCTTTTCAATATGTATTTTGATGCCATCACAATTATACATTTACTAACTAATATCCAATCTGAGCATGACACAAGTACTACTTATGAAGAAGAGTAATTGAAATTACTAAGATAAAGTATGAAAGATTGAGAAATAAACAGAATTTAAGATACATACTCTTATAACCCCTTGGTAACATTGCTGATACCACAATCCTCTGAATACAGTTTGGAATTTTGAAGCCCAACTAACAGTTACAATCTATGGAATACGGTCATGCTCTTGGACTCCTAATAAGTGCCTCTAGGCAATGATTTTTATTTAAATAATAATGTGACATTTGATTATTTTATATAAAACCATGAAGCACCAACAAATACAGCAAAAACCAAAGTAACCAATAGTTAAAGAAGGAGCAATGTTTTTCATAGAAAAAAGTTAGGGGGAAAAAAAAAATCACAACTGGATCTCTCACTCACACACACACACACACACACAAAAGAAGCCAACTGGTACAGCAGCTGCGGGAACACTTGAAGAAGTTATGGAGCCTCATGCACTTCCAACAATTAAAAGACATCATATTTATAGCTTGTTAGGAACTGATGAACAAACTTAATAGGTTAGTTTACATATTCTAATATAAGTTTGGCAACTGTATGTGAGGCACTGTTGTAGAAATTAGGGATACAGAGATGATCAAGGCAGACCAGGTTAATTTCAGGATTAGCCAAGAAAACCTACTATATGATTTCAGGGTGTAATAAAATATTCTGCTACCTTTGAACTTAAAATGCTCACTACCCCCCATAATTTAGATGTAAAACTCTTAAACTAAAAGTATGTATTTTCATTAAAATTACATCAGTTTAGTTATCAGAGGATGAAGAAAAGCAGAGAATAGGCCAGTCACTGAACCTGCAAACAGTAGTAGAAGGGGAAAGACGACAACATATGTTGAAAGGCTCGAAGAGCTCACAGTATTATATCAAATAATGTTGCCTGACTCTAAGTGACAAGAATATGTAGATGTTATTCTGAAGGAATTTCTATTACATATGCACAAATGAAGGCATTTGAACTTGGCAAGATTGATAACTTTTAAAAAAAATCCCAAAGCCCCTCAACTAAATCTGTCTTATAAGAACTTGTAAGACGATGGCTGGTAAATACTGGGAATGTAATTAACTATGTGAATGTAATTAACTATATTTAATGAAAATTTCATCATTAAGAGTCAACATTTTATGGGATCTATTATTAAAACAGTAAATTTCAACTTATTGAAGTCTACCTTTGTGAAATATATCCAATATTGTCTGTTTTTTTTCTCCCCTCAGTTCTGGGGACTGAATCCAACAACCCCAGCCCCTTTTGATTTTGAGACAGGGTATTGCCAAGTAGCTGAAGCTGGTTTTGATTACGTGATCCTTCTGCCTCAGTCCCTAAGTCTCTGGGATTACAGATGTGCACCATTATATCTGGCCCATTATCTTTTGCTAATCACAAAAATACAAAGTAGGGCAGAAGTAAGGCTTATATCAGAGTTTATAAATTAATATTGGTCATATAAATACCTTATTTTGGGGCTACTGTGTTTGAAGAACTGTAAAAATTTGGGAATCATGATGTTGAGAGGGCGATCTAAAACATCACTATCTAAAATCTCAGCAGAATCTTCACATATCTTCTGAAGGGCACCAAATGCTCCCTGTAAAAGATACATACTTTAAATTATTGGAATTCATTCAAAACAAAGGCATTTAAAAGCGAACTGAGGAATATTGCTTAATTTTATGCATCAATGTTCTCAGCCCACATAAAATGCTGCCTTCTAAAATCTCTATATTATTCAATTTTTAAATAAATTATACCATTGAAATCTACCTTTTCATAGAAGTATATATGTAACCACTGTAACTTCCCTTTTGGAAGAACATAAAAAAGTCAATACCACTTAAAATTTACTTATAGATAAACCATTTTTTGGTTAAATGGTGACACCATCATTTAAGGAACAGACAATTCACATCGGCAACTATTTCCCTATAATCATTTTATTCCAAAGTGGATAATCCAAAATTCTTAATTTTACCATAGCAACTTTGTGTTTATTCTCCATAGTACAGTTAACTAAAAATTGCCTTTTTTAGTCTTTAAGGCAATTACCAAACATCCTTTTAGAGTTTATAATGCATCAAAAAGAAACTTGGGAATATAAGTTTACAATTTAATTAAAAAATATAAAATTTCAGCCTTAGATTTAACACATTAAATATAACCTTGTTACTTACTAAGGCAAAAACAAAAACAAAAAAACCAAGTTTCAACTAAGAAACAATTTAGCAATCATTTCATACCTACAACTAAAAAGTCCACATCTTTAGTTCAGACAGATGACAAAAATATTTACCTAAAATACAATTTTTGTGTAGCTGCTACACAATTCACAATCAGGACAAATTTTTTATTCTTGGAAAATGCTTAAAATTTTCATCTGTTTACCAAAGTAATATTTAAATAGAATCAACTGGTATATGGTGACTAAATATTATTTACTTTTTCTGTAATTTTCTAAGTGTATTTTTAAGGAATTTGTGTATGCGCGTGCACGTATCTATGAATTAAAAAAAAATTGGGGGGAGGGGAGGATACGGAGACATCCCAATACTTTGCCAACACTCCCTTCCCCCTACCTTTTCTTTCCTATTTCCTCTTCCCTAAGACAGGTTAGGCAACATACTACATCTCATAAAATTATCTGATTCCTTATTGTTAGGTTATTCTTATGCTTCTCTGCTTTTAAACCTTGCTACTGTTTGAAAAGGAAGGAGTTGCTGCATTAGAAATTGTAAACACTTAAAATGGTTTCACTTAAAATAGACTTCTGCTCAAACTGGAAGCCTGCTATTGAAACACATACTTTAGAATTCCTCTTTATCTTACCAAATGAAAAGGTTGCCATTGACTTAATCAATGCCCCCCCCCCCGCCCCGCAAAAGCCCAAGATCAGAATTACAGTATGATTAAACTAGATCAAATGGGACACACCGCAAATTCATCATTTATTAAACATAAAAATGGTTCTGAGAAACTAAGAAAGTACTTATGGTCTCAGAATTTGGTAAGTTTCGGTCTATCTTCAGATATGCATAGCACTTCAACTGATTAAGTCTGGTAATAACTTTATTACATATATGTAACTCCCAAGAATAATTTTACAATAGAAAAACAAGATATTTTCTTATAGGAAACACAGTAAATTATAAGAAGCAAATATTCTTACCTCACAAGTGTTGTAATCTTCAGAATCCAATAGGCTACAGAGTTTTGGTAAGAGGTCAGGCCAGTTCTGCAATTCTCCCTTGGAAGCGATGGTTGTAATCAATATACCTTGAAAGAAAATACATATTTTTAAGAAAGCTGAGTGCACTGTGTTAAATAGCACCATGTCAGTAACACACTTTTAAATGTCCCATATCAGCCCAAGATTTCCAAACCATGTAAATAGCATTCATCAATCCCCATATCACCAAAAGCTACCTATAGAAAAAAAAACCACAGCATAAATCAGATATTTCTAATCTTGTTTCCCAGCAATTCACCCTCTAAGTTGTTGCTTTTAAAAATATTTACTAAGTATCTCTATGAAAGACTAAAACTTGCTTCTCTTCAATAATGCCAAGATAGCACCACTAATTAATGAACTCCAATTTCACAAAAATTATATATAAAAGAATAGAAAGAAAATAGACCAAAATATTATTACTAGCACTTATTACTAGGTGATAAGTTCATAAAGTTCAAATAAAAAATATCTGAAGAAGCTAAGAATAGCTCCCTGACAATATGGAATCCAAGTTAAGGACCATGGTAGGGAAAAGGAAAGTATTGGATCATTGATTGAGAATAATTCTGCATGTTAATGCAATATGCAACATTCCCCCTCATGTAGATAGGTTATATACTCCTGCAACAGTTCCCACTTACTGGATCAAAGATGAATCGCCAGAAAGGCGATCTTCGATCTTGGAGGTTGGGTGGCACATGCTGACTGATCATGTCGTTTTGACTGACTGGAGTATTTCAACTGTGTTGTGCAGCTGCATTGTGATAGTGGATTATGCAAACACACAAAAATGTAACACAAAAGTTTTGTGTTAACATTTTTATTTGCCTTAGTAAATATATCATTAGTAATATGTAATATGCTCAGTGATTATGGGTCTTTTAGTACCACTAAAAGTATAAACTCTGACAGTAGGCAAATTGTAAGTACTTTAAGCTGCAAAAACTAGTTTGTTAAAATGAAAAAAAGAAAAAGTACTCTTTTCCCAGACTTATCTTAAAAATTCAATGAAATACATAGAAAATGCCTGGCTTCTAGTAAATAATTATTATCGAATAGCAAATCTCACTGTGTGGATAAACTTTAATTTTCCACCTTTAGCTTTCAGATGGTTGTTTCAACACGTAACAACTAAAAAATAAAACTTAAATAAAGCTGTTGGCAAATGTTCACTGTTCAAAGAAAAAATTTAAATAGTAAGGATTAATGTATTAATTACATTAAAAAAATTTTTTTAGTTGTAGATGGACATAATACCTTTGTTTATTTTTATGTGGTTCTAGAACCCAGTGCTTCACACATGCTAGGCAAGCGCTCTACCACTGAGCCACAATCCTGGCCCCTGATTAGAGTTTTAAGACATAAAGCTCAAATGAGCTCTCCACTAAGATTCAAAACTAACAAGACCCAATCCTTCTTGCAAACTTTCTTTCCTGAAGTTACAACATAAAAGAACTGAGAAAAGGATCTGGATCTGCCTTAATAGAAACATGTCTAAAAGACTGCAAATAAGTAATAATTAATAGAAATCAGACATAATCTACAATTTGGTACTAATGGACTGACATTTATTACTCCTGCTAGTAAAGCACTAAAGGATGTTGACTGAAAAATTCCAAAATCTGCCCCTTAACCACATCCACTCTTGAAAAATCTAATGAAAAGTCTGTCTTTAGAATAAGGGAGAAAAATCGGCCATACTTATTAAGATCTTAAATGTTTAAATAACACTTTGACCCCAAAATGCCACTTTACAAATTAATCCTGTAGAAACTTCCCAAAAGAGTATAAGCATACATAAAAGGAAATTCCTTGAAATAATAAAAATTATAAATCATGTATTTTTTAGATAACTTTATATTCATGCAATGGATTACTGCAGTTAGTAAACTGTGATCCCTTCCAAATATATTTCCTTAATAAGATTCTTGATATGTATTATAAAGATTAAAAAAAAATTTTAAAGTCAGGCATGGTGGTGCACACCTGTAATCCTAATTACTCAGAAGGCTTGGCTAAGCCATGGAGTTGAAGGCCAGCCTGGACAAGATAGCAAAATCTTGTCTCAAAGAAAAAAAATTAAAAGCCAAGGAGGCAAATTAATTGCTTTATAATCAGAAATCTTTTACTTAAAATATTTACTAAATTCTTAATATGGTACAATCATTTTATTAGGTGTTAAGGAAAACAGATAACTCAAAACCCTACATGGTCCTTATCCTTATGGAGTTCAGTCACATTTGTACATTTGGCACTATCTGTGGGCACTTTTGGTTGGCGCAACAGAGGGTGTGGCTGTCATTGGTATCCAATGGGTACAAATGAGAGACGCTAATTATCATCCTATAATGCACAGAATAGCCCACCACAAAGAATTATCTAGTCGAAAATGTGCCAAGATTGTAAAACCCTGGTCTAGACAAACAGAATTCTACTTAAATCAATAATGCATCATGCTTATGTTATTATACCCATCTCAAGAATTTTCTATTAAGATTGATAAGTGAAGTTCTCAATTTTCTTAGAGATACCTTTCAAAAACCTACAAAAAATATTTTTACTTATTTTCTTATGAGAATTAAGATTAACTAATTTAAAAGATAAAATTTCCAGATTTATTGGTGGGAAAGCACCAATAATTTATAATAATAACAAGCTCATCTATTTTCCTAAAGGAGAAAAGAAAAACAAAAAAAAAAACAACCTGGCTTTACTTTATTAAAAATAAAAAAGAACTCTTGATGATTCCAAGGTGATGCTTTGGATGAGACAAAAACCAAAAACCAAAGAGAACAACGTTAGAATCTTAATGCTGTGCACTCCTCCTCTAATAATTACTCCTCTAGGAAATTCTGTATATCAATTTCACCACCACCTTTTCTAACCTGCATTAAAATGGGCCACGGGAAAGAACAAAAGTCATTTATTTTTAATTTAACAACATAAAACAGATAATTTAATTGGCTAAGCCATTTATTTCAAGTGATAAGCTTTGTTTTATCCAATTAATATTATAGACATTTTTGAAAATAGAAAACCTCAATATACAAGTTGAGCTTCCTTAATCTGAAAATTCATACTTAAAACTTTTTGAATGCTGACAAAGATTCAGATTTTGAGCTGGCTGCAGTGGTGTATGACTGTAATCCCAGTGACTCAGGAGGTTGAGGCAAGAGGATTATAAGTTTGAGGCCAGTCTCTGCAACTTAGTTAGACCATGTCTTAAAAATATAAATAAATAAATAGCTAGATAGATAGACAGAAAAAAGTAGCTTAGTTGTAAAGCACCCTGGGTTCAATCTTCAGTACCAAAACAAAAATAAAACAAAAAATGATTCAGATTTTGTAGCAGTTCAAATTTTAGATAACGGATGTTCAACTAATAAAGTATATGCAAATATTCCAAAATCCAAAAATGTTTGAAATCTGAAAACACTTCTAATTCTAAGCATTTTGGATAAGGGATGTTCAACCTGTACACAATATTGAAAAACAAAATAATTAAATGTATCCACTACCCATCTTCAACAATAGTCATTAATATACACTCAATCACTGTTTCATCTACACCTCTATCCACATCTTCCACCTTCACAATCCAAACTGTTTCTTATCAAATTCCATTAAGTCTCTTTTGGAATATATTGCAGTTATGTCTGAAGTTTATTGACTCATTTTTAGTGAAGCAGAGTAAAACAAATTACTAAACTAAAACTCTACCTCATTGGTTTCTATATTGAAAACTGAGGTGTGGTCTCTCACAATTAGGATATTTATATACATAACATAAATCAGAACCAAAACACCAAAGATCTTCCATATTCTAAAAATACCAAGAAATAAAAATTACATCTATGTATGTCAATTTCATTTGTTTCAAAATAAGATGTCAGAAGACACTTTGAAGTATTTAATTCTGGGCTACGGATGTAGTTCAGTGGTAGTGTGTGTGTTTAATATGCACAATACTGTAGCCTTGATTCCCAGTATAAGAAAAAACCATTTCTAATATAAACCCAGTTGCAAACATACTCAAAAACTCTTATGGAAGGTTAAAAAAAAAAAAAAAATTCCAGCATTCCCTGGAATACCAATTTTCCTCTCCCCAATACTATTACTTCCAACCTTTCAAATTTAAGGCACAAAGCACTGTAGTTTTGACAAAATGATAAGTTTATAATGAAATACAGTTTAGGAAAAACTATTTCGTATTTAATTTCTATATCTTGCCCTCCCTCTCCTTTCCTCTCAGCAGAATTGCCTTCTAAGGAAATCTACTTCTTTTAAAATCGCATTTGACCACATCTATGAAGATTTCTCTCCCTGATTTTATATAGAAAAGGCTAGCAGACTCTTACCATTCTTTACTTCTCTATCAAGAAGTAAAGCCTTGAGAAGATATATGGGGATATGTTAAAGTTACCTAGGAAGTCCTTTTCCTCAAACTACAATTATCTTCTACCGATCAAATTTGAAGCCAATGTTAACAATGGCACTCTTTTTAATGAGACTGTTCGGAGGGGAAATCAAAGAATCTCTGCTTTTTATTTAGATTTAGCTAGATACTTAAAAATTCTTTATTCGCCTTTTATTTAATTTTTTTGGTGGTGCTGGGGATTGAACCCATGGCCTTATGCATGCAAAGCAATCATTCTCCCAAATGAATCTCTGCTTTTTAAGAGACAAACAATACATTTCAAACCTGAAAGACCATAATACACAAAACCAGATAAACTCAGTGAGTTTAATTGACTTCTATTTGACCAACATGCTAGATTAACGGCAATTTACTAAGTCCTTGTAAAATACAGCTGCTTAAACCCACGGCACACTGAACACTGCCTATTAGTAGGCTGCTCTGGAGTACTTCCTATTTCTACTGCTACCCATTGATATGTGTTCTTGCTAATAGCCAGTTTTGTGTTCCCAAACTGGTTTACAGCAGTTATTGTAATTAAACATTTAATACATGAACCGCTAGAAGGTATGCTTTAAGAATACACTCAGGGGGCTGGGGATGTGGCTCAAGCGGTAGCGCGCTCGCCTGGCATGCATGCGACCCGGGTTCGATCCTCAGCACCACATACCAACAAAGATGTTGTGTCTGCCGAGAACTAAAAAATAAATATTAAAAAAATTCTCTCTCTCTCTCTTAAAAAAAAAAAAAAATACACTCAGAAAAGACTAAAAGTTGCCAATGAATTACGTACAGGCATGACAAATATTAGAAACAAGTGGAAAAAAATAGTAAATATGTAGAATTCTATACTTAGATTGTTTTTATAGGAGGGTTTTCTTGGCATGAAAAAGCATTACACAACATAGAAAATAAGAAACTCCAACTTGCAGAGTCAAAGAAAAGGCCTAAATATCACTTGTTGATGCTCCACTTGAACTAACATTGATTAAGCAACTACCAATGACTTTGGTCTCAGTGGTAAAAGAGCTTTTAATGTAACAGTTAACACTATTTCAAAAGCACTTAAATGGTAATAAAAACATCTCCATCATAATTTAACATGAAATGAACAAAGAAAATTCCGATGAAAATGATTTGTTACCTCTGAAAACTATCTAATTGGGATTAGTCAACTTTTTGTAATGTAGCTTACCTACAGTGGCTCTGATCAGAGGAGAGGCGTCACCAATATTATTTAAACATTCACTTTTAATAAAGTCTGTCACACCATTTGGGAAGTTCTGAAAATGTGCTTTCACGTTATTCTTCAAAATGAGGCCACTCAATGATCTTGTGGGTTCATCTGTAATAAAAAATAGCATTGAGTTTTAAAGTAGTTTTCATCTCAAAACATGCCAGGAACAACTTCAAAATCATTTCTTATTTAATGGTTGATTGCAACATTCCAATTTACTTTGCTATAACCAGTTTTTTTAAAAAAAATCAATTATAAAAAAAATAGCTCTATAATATAGTTTAAGATTTCTTGACCCTGGCACTACTGACATTTAAAGGATAATTCTTTGTAGTGGGGCACTACTCTGTACATTGTTAAGACAATTAGATGCATCACTGGCCTTACAAAAGTATTTCTAGGTAATGTCAGATGTCTCCTAGGGAGGCCAAATTGCTCCTTTTTGAGAACCACTAATATGGTTTAAGAGTTAGTTTATATATGGCCACTGTACTAAAGCTTTGTTATCTGATATAAACATCATCATAGATCTCAAAGTATTAAGTCACTAAAAATATCCAATTAAAAATTAAACAGACATAAAATATAATACATGGGGTTACTTTCACATAATAATTGCCATAATTTATGTTTTTCACTTGCCTGTGAGCCTTAAAAAAAAGGCAAAATAAACAAAAACATTTTACAATTAAATAAGTTAAATAAATAAATATAAACTATGGTCCACAAATTGGCACCACCACCACCAATATTTAATAGTTAACATTTTCTAAATGCGTATTATGTACTAAACACTGCTAAATGCTTTTCAAGTATTCTGCATTTAATTCTTAAAACCTTGAGACAGATATTATTAACCCCTCTGTATAAGGAAAAAAACTTAGGCCTGGCCAAAGTTACACAAGGCCAACTTCCTCAACATGTGAGGAAACCAAATTATCAACCTCAGTAGTTTGGCTCCAGAGCATACACTCTGAATCACTCTACAGTATTACCTTCCTCTGAAAGGGCTGAAAGAGCAGGTGTGAAAGCCAGCATGTTGAACAGATTGCTATTAATACTACTGCTTCAGCCATCTTCATATGTTAAGTAAATACCTTGATCTTGTTCTAGTTAGTATTATGTTCCCCAACTGACTGCCATTGAAATCTTCAAGTGTAAAGCACATATAGAGGCAAAAAGAGTAAAGTTTCTCAGCATATAAACCCTATTTGGGTCATCACAGCAATATAATCCAAGAGCTCTATTTCATCTGAAAATTTCTTTCCATTCACAACTCATTTCAGCAAATATCTTAAAAGGAAAACACTTCTAAATTCTTAAGTTTAAAACAGCTGTGAAATAAATAGAACAGATATTTAACTTCCTCAAGCGATAAGCTTGTTATTACTTTATTAGCAAAATAATTTAGCCATGTAATTAAATGGCATGCATATTTGTTTACAAGAGGTACACACTTTTATAAGTCACAAGTTGAAGAGTTAATAAATAACACAAAGTGAAACAATTTAACATTAAAAGTATATAGCTTCTGTCCAAATGTTTAAAAAAGCCAACTTCTTTTAAAATTAAGATTGTACTTCACAGTCCCTCAATTTGCTCATCTGTAAAGTGAGTTCATCTCAGATCTCCAGATCTAGAATTCCTTCTCCATGATTTAGCAATAAATTTACTAAATAAGCATTTTCATTTAAAGATATTACTTACATATTCCTTCTGTAATGTGAATGGACACAATGCGAACATTATTACTAATTCTTTTTAAAGGAAAATTAGATAGAACCTATGTTCTAATCTTCTGGGGGGAAAAAATTGACAGGCCCATACAAGTAGAAATACCAAGTGTTACACTACTGCGGGGAACAATCTTTATATTGAGAAAAAAGGGTGTTGAATGTTGTTCAGCAGTAGAGTACTTGCCTGGTATGTATGAGGTCCCAGGTTCGACCCCTGATACAGCCAAAATAAATAAACAATGTATCATAAACATACCATCAAACTAGAACATTTATTGCTGATTAAGATATGTTGAGAGAATTCCTAGTTTTTCAAAAGCTAGATTTAGAGTTTTAAATTCCCTACTATGTTTTTCAATCACAAAACCCACAAAATTAACCAGCAAATCATCTGAAAATGATTCAAAAGAAATCACTGTACTGAATATGAATTATCAAAATCTAAATACAACCTGCTAGAGTTTGGAGCTGAAATCTCGTCTAACAGGCATTTTATAGCTGAAAGAAGCAAGTGGAGGTTAAATGGTGTCAGAGTCTAAATAAAACTCATTATTTCACAACTCCAAGTGCAGTGTTTTTACTATGGCTTCTAAAACACTAATCATTCAATAGGGGACAGTACTTTCATTAAAGGCCAGTCTAACAATATTCCAGGAAGGGAATACTCAGTACTCAAACTGCCTGACAGAGGTGCTCAATAAATATTTATGAAATAAAGTTCACAGGACTATACTACCTGTATTAGAAATAAGCAAATGACTGTCACATTAAAAAAAAAAAAAATCAAAGTTGTTGGCCTTTAAACTGTTAAGAATTTAAAATTGTAAATTAATGAAAAAGTTTCATGTATACTATTAAAAAGTTTTTTAAAAGTTACAAATTTATTTATAAAGAGAATGATATCATTTTTTATAAAATGTTTCCCTATGGGACTGAGGATTAAGTCAGGACCTCATGCATGCTAGTCCAGTGTTTTACCATTGAGCTGCATCCCCAACCCTTTTCAAAATTTTATTTTTAAGACAGGGTCTCAATAAGTTGCTCAGGCTGGCTTTGAATTTGAGATTCTCTTGCTTTAGCCTCTTAGGTAGCTGGGATTATAGGCATGCACCATTGCACCTGGTTGTTTGTTTTTTGATTAGATAACTTAAAAAATAAAATATAGTTATTTAAAAAAGAGTGTAGACATACACAACTAAAGAGATCATCAATAATTATCTGATAAATAATTTACTTTGGCTACATAACTTTAATTTTTTCTTATAATGAACACAAATTCAGTTAATTAAATCTCGACTTCAATTTGTATACTGAAACAAATCAATCTTTATTATATTTCTGTATATGGAATGAAGCAAAACACCCAAGGTAGACTTGTAACATATTCTTCATTTGCAAAGAATGAATATATTATATAAATACCCACGAACAACTGAATGTTTATTAAACATTTTAAAGCTTAAAGGGTAGTAAACCTAAGACTCTACATATAACATGTATATTAAGCATGTGGTTAATAGAAAATGAAATTATTTGAAAATAAACAATTCCCAGAATGTCTTCACAGTGTCTTAGAGACACTTTCAAATAGTTATCAACACAAACCCTACTTACCTTCAGATTTTAATTTTGTAAGAACAAAAATCAGGTAGTTGTTAAAATCTGGATATTGATTGAGTTGTTCCAGTTTCTAGAACAAATAGTAGTTAAGGAAACTTCTTTGTGTAATCCAAGGAAGAAATTAAGCATTTTAAAATCTAATAATCAAGAGTATTTTCTGTGATATTTTTTGTTTTCCACTTTTTACTGAGATTAAGGTATCTTGTTAAATCTAATTATTGATAGTGTAGTTCAAAAGCACACTATTTGTTAAAATCCTTAGGTGCTTTTACACCTAAAATTAGATCAATTATATTCAACACAACATACGTTCCAGCTTCAGCATGCTCAATATGGCAAAACTATTTTTCAAAATAAAATTCTTAAGATTTAACAATTTTAAAACATTAAGGCCAAAGGATGTGGTTATAGCTCAGTTGACTTGAGTGTTTGCCTAGCATGCATGAAGCCCTGGGTTCAATCCCCAACATCAGAGAATGAAGTGGGGGGGGGGGGGCACCGAAGAAGTTATTTCAGTATAAAATACAAAAAAAAAAAAAAAAAAAGAAAAACATTTCATAAAAACGAGAACAAGTTTTTTTAAAGGTGAAGAGCATTTAGGGAAATTAACTTAATAAAACAGGCTTTTAATGGAAGGGGGGATATTTAAGAAAAAAATGCCATTTATGCCTAAACCTATACACCAAACCTAAACCCTATAAAAAGTCAGCAATATAGAATAGTTCTATAACCCCTTTCCCCAAAGATCTAACATGTCTGGTGACACAAATTTGCAGGTATTTTACCAAGGCTGGCAGATATGTGGCATAATGCTCTACATTTTTTTCTTCAAGCCCTGACTCTCAACCCTTAATACATTCGCCAAATATTTTACTACACAGAAAGATGAAAATATTTTTTACTGAATGGACTTAAATCTGATTAAATCCCTGATACAAATGTGAGGTATATCACATTTGTGTTTACTCTCAAAATGGATAAAAGACTGAATATAAATTCTAATCAAACACAGTCTCTAGTAAAATTCTGAGGTATAATTACTTTCTCCAAGAAAAACCCAGACAACGATTACTTGTTTTGGTGAATGGTCAAGATTAACAGTGTACTGATATAATAAATTTTCTATATTTCCCGATAAGGCTTACTTTCTTACAACTTGAAGCTATACTTATTTATGCTACTGTAACAGTCTTTCAAAAAGTGCTCAAGCCTATACAAAACAATAATTAAATACATTATATCCTTAGAAGACACAAAAGAACAGAGTTCATTATTAGCACTGTGAAAATATAAAGCAGAGCATATTATTTTTAATTAAAATACTGTTTTCCTTTCTCAAGAACAACAATTTACTTTGCTCTTACTCAGAGGATATATAGGTTTTTTTTTTTTTTTTTCATGTACACAATAAACTGTAAAATGACTACTAGAACTGACCAAGCACAGTACTGGGATGTATAAAAGGTACTTAATGAACATAGTAAAACAAGAAATTACAATGCAATTCTGACTAACTTAAGAATCTTAATAATTGTGGCAAACAATACCTACAATTAATTAAATGTCAACTTCTATCAGTCACAGAGCTTTGACAACATAAGACCGAGTCATAACAGAGTTCTGATAAAAGTTCCAATATATCCCGAACTACTGTTCTTTCTTTAGTACCAGCAGTATCAAAACAGAAAAGTGTAAAAAAAAAAAAAAAAAAAAAAAAAAAAAAAAAAAATTCAAGCAGATCTAAATTATTATCCCCTCCATTTTTAAAAGGACAGTGTTACATTAATCAAGAAGCTGAGTATACTTAATTCATTTATTGGAGGCTTTAGGTTACAGCAATGCAGTGCTACTTTGAAACTCTGATAAATAAAACCTTAACTTTAGTGTCTTAAATTTAAACAAACTCAAATATGAAAGAGCTTACCAAATTCCAGATTAAGTAATTTGCTGCTTAATGACAATAAAAATAACAGACTTAAGATTTTTAAAGAATTAGCTTCTTTGGGCTTAACAGGCCACGGGTAAAAAGGTTATTCATGATCTGGTTAAGTGAATTTGTTTCTTTTACTGGACCCAGTAAGGGCTTCTGCGCAGTTTAGGGCACCTCAGAAGTTATCATACACAGCGGTTGTTTTGCCGCTTCTTTTCCACCTTTTCTAAAACTGTAGCAACAGGACCGCTACAACAGCACACTCCATAACCAATTAGGTAATTGCACCGACAGGTTGGGCCAAAGCTTTAAAAATAAAATCTCATTTGAGAGTTAGGGAGCTCGCAACAGGTGTTAACACAAGCGGCCCGGAATGAGACCCCAGCAGAGACCCCTTTCTCCCACCTGCAGCTCTTCATACCCTTCAGGGAAAGGGCCCTGGAGAAAACCCCAAGCCCAACCCCGTAGCAGTTCAAACCCCGCGCCAGCTCCACCCATCCCTAGCCGGCCAGCGGTCGTGCAGCTCCGCTCTCGAAAGCTCCCTCCACCGGGCCTCGCGCGCTGGCGCTGCCGCTGCCGCCCCCACCCCGCGGGGCGCATTGTGTGGGCCCGGGCCGCTCCCGCCGCGCCGCTCCCCACCCCCTCGGCAGGTCTGCGGCGGGCGGGGACGTGGCTGCCCGGCAGCGCACATGTCGCGATCTCGGGCGGCGGCCCGGAAGCCGGCCGCTCGGAGGCGAGCCCCACGCGGCGGCGCCCCGGTAGGGCGCGAGGGCCGCGTGCGCGAGGCGCAGGGCAGGGGCCGCGGCGGCCGGTCTCCCCGCGCAGGCGGGCGGGGAGCGGGCCGGGGGGAGGGGCGGCGAACCCCCGGGCGCGAGGAGCCGGGCAAGCCGCGCGGGCGGCGGGCAGGCCTTGGGAAGGATACTTGTTGCACGGTCCTCTGGATGGTGGTGTCTGGGGACTGGGACTCCTTCAGCAGCTGCAGGATTTGCTGAAGCCCTTGCTCGTCAGGTTTCCACTCATACTCCATCTTGGTTTGCTGCAAATAAAGCCAGACACAGGAAGAGACGGAGCAAATGTTACTCCCCGTGCACAGGCCGGAGGGCTGCCCGCGCAGAGCAACCTCCTTTCCCCACCACGACCACCCCATATCGCCCTAGACGCCTTGGACCTGCCTGGGATGCCCCAAAGGAAGTCTCGGACAGTGAAGCCCGGCGGAACTGCTCTTAGCAGCTCGGCCGCCAACGTCTGCTGCTGCCGCCGCGGCCGCCGAGCGCAAGGAGCCGACCAGACTGAGTCACCGCGAATTTGCAATCTGGCCCCAAGATCCGCTCACGGGAGCCCCCTGGGTCCTAGTGCCACGCAGATTTCTCCAACTCAACTCATTCTGTTCAGAGTACTACTGATTTAAAGGTAATCAAAAGTCAAGTCCTTATTAAAACGTCTTCAAAACACCTGAAGAAATCCGTCTTGGATCATTATGTTAAGTAAACATGGTGGAAAAAAGACGAATGATTGAAATGGGTGGGGGGGCAGTTAATTCCCCTGATAGGTCAACCATAACTAGTGAGAATAAAAATGTTACTCTTTCTGATATTAAATATTTAAACTAATGATGCCACATTAATAACCACAACCCACACTTCGAGAACATTATATGCAACCTTTGTAGAATTTGGCTAAAATAAAATTTCATTCTTTCATAAACTTCAACTTTTGAACTCAGTAGGTGAAATTTCATCAGGAACTAACTACATTCTCCAACTAAGGAATTAGGGCTGAAGAAAAAAAGCAAGTGTAATTTTACAATTGGATGGTGTTTAATTCTATTACAGTATCTTCACATAAATTACTATTGTTATTCAGTAAAGACTGCGAGTAAAGTCCTGTGTCTTAAGCTACTACAAGTTGCAAGTGCTAGTCAACTGAAACTATTATATCAATGACACACTTTTATTAAAGTGAAATGATTAAACAAAAACGACAAACTTAAGTATCAAGCATGAATTATTTTACAAAGCCAAATTGAACTTGATAAAGGAGATATTTTTAATATGACTTTTACGTGATAGTTTGACAGGTGAAATTAGTAAAAGTCCTAGCAAAGGTTAAAAGAAAAATTTCTTGCTATAGCTCTCTAGTTAGCTTTTCTTTCTTTCTTTCATGTTCTTTCCTCTCTTCTTCACCTTTATCTTCTGCTTAATATCCTGTAATCTGACTTTGCTTACCACCTTCTACTGACTTCCTAAATAACCTAGAAAACTCTTCTTTGAGGGGATAGCGGGATTGAATCCAGGGGTGCTTTACCACTGAGCTACGTCCTCAGTCCTAAATTGTTGTTAAAAACAAAAATTAAAACCCAAAAAACTACGATCATCATCTAGACATATTTATTGATATTGCTGTACTTTTATCTCAGCCTCCATTCTGTTTATATGTACACTCTATTTTATAAAAATGGGGCTGTTTCTAGCTTGACTTTATTACATAGTTAATAAAATATTTTAATAAAACATAGCTATTCCATTGTATTGCTGTTATAATTTTTATAAATGTTTAATTGATAATATAGACACAAGTTTGTACAAACATCTAGATGGATTGTTACAAAGTGAATACACCTGTGTGACCAACACCTTTCGCTTAATATGGAGATCATTAACTAGTGCCAATCTCTCTCGTGCCCATTCAGTCACTACACATTTCTCCCCTTCCATCTTTTAACTTAAAAAACTTTAAAAAAGTAACAAAAGCCACATTATTATAAACCAAACAACATGATCAAACAAGGAAAGTTAATTCAATACTACTGGCAAAGCTTACTTCTCTGTAAGACATCTTTAACAGTTTGATATGAATCCTTCTACACCTTTCTCTATTCTCAAACAGTATACTTTTATTCTTAATTTTTTTTATAGTTCATACCACACTAACCCAACAATATTTTCACATATAATATAGTGTGGTCATTATTCCACCTCAACACACATGGATTTCACTCACTTTTTAATAGATGCACTTTGGTCTTTATAATGAATAGAGCATAATTTGTCCAACTACTTCCTGACGGACTTCCAGAGTGCCTCTACTTTTTTTGCCACTATGAAAAACACAGCAAAAAAATTCTTGTATCATTGTTCCTACACAGTAGTGGCAACCCTGTGGCATTATTAAGTCAACCTAACAGTTATTACCAGATTACTTTCCAAAAAGTTATGCAATTCATACTTACCAACAATATGAGTATTTCATATCACCTAGGTTGTTCTTTGAATTTTTTGAATAACAATTTAATTTCTTGTTACTAGTAGTGGTGGGGAACCTAAGAGTCTGGGCCTTAGTCTTAGTTTTGAGTTTGAACTGCTACCATGCACAAAACCTACCTGTTGAGGTGACATTTGAAAGTCCACTTTCACGTTCTACTGTACTTTTGAACAGAAACCCAGGGACCAACAGAGGTCAAGTTTGAAAAGCATCTTAATCATATCCATCCTAATGATTGCTGCACCATAATATCAGGTCATACCATGCTTCCCTCTTTATCCCTGCACTAAAATAAATAGGATTATTTTTCTTTTTCGAAAAGTTTAGCATTAAGAATATCTAATTTGATCAGACTATGTTGATAGGATGGTGTTTTCCTATATCTGATTCAAACTATCTGTAACAAAGGCTCTCAAAAATACTTGACTGATAATATTTGACTTGAAGAGAGACCTCAGGACACTTTGAACTTCTGTATCTAATCTTATTAAAAAAAATGTGATAAGGCCGGGTTTGGTGGAGCACACCTGAAATCCCAGCAGCTCAGGAGGCCGAGACAGGAGGATCTTGAGTTCAAAGCCGGCCTCAGTAATAGCGAAGTGCTAAACAACTAGATGTGATGTAAAATAGGGCTGGGGATGTGACTCAGTGGTTGAGTGCCCCTGAGTTCAATCCCCAGTACAACAAAAGAAAACACAACCTGTGATAAAATATACATACACAAAATTCACTGTTTTCCATGTACAGTTTAGTGGCATTAAGTATATTCCCATTGTTGTACAACCATCACCACTAGCCATCTCCTGAACTTACATTTTAATAGCCACTAAAATTAGTAAGAACCTTATTTCTGTAGCCAGAGCTATTGTAAGGTTAATTAGATAACATCTGAAGTACTTCAAATTAACCAACACACCAGTATTATTATATGAGGTAGAAATCATTTATTTATATAATAAACAATATATTAAATATCAAGATTTAAATCTGATTTTTAATCAATTTTAAATCATTACTACACAAGGTATTTATTTTGCATACTGAATGTCCCCCAAAATAGGAACATAAATAAATAACAAGGAAGTAGTCCTTCAAATTTTTCTTCTTTAGAATATACAAATCATGCTGATTGGCTGGGACACTCAATGATGAGTAAAAAAGGCATTAAGCAAAAAGACAGTTCTTTGAAGAATAAGTGGATAGAAGATAGTATCAGAATAAAAAGCAGCTTTTAAGATATAAGTGACTGGATACCACTGTGGATCTTCTGAAGACCAAATCATATACTAGGTCCCATACTGCTAATTTACAATTTACATTAAAATTTTAAATTTGCTGCAATTGAAAATGATGTGATAAAGAATGAAGACTACTGCTGGGGTTGTGGCTCAGTGATAGAGCACTTGCCTAGCATGTGTGAGACACTGGGTTCAATTCTCAGCACCACATATAAATAAATGAATAAAATAAAGGTCCATCAACAACTTAAAAAAAATGAAGACTAGTTGAAGACAGTAAAAATACCTAGCTTCTTCCCTCTGGAGGGGATGTAATATATAGTTTAAATAGCAAGACAGGAGGTATGGGCTCAACTGACCCAAGTTTGAATCCTAGTTTCTCAATTCACCTGTGCAAGTTAATCTCTCTAAGCCTCAGTTTCTCAACTATAAAATGGGACTATGTTTACTCTGTATTAGGGTTATAAGCACCTAGAACAGAGTATGAGTTGAAGAAGGTAGTTTTAATAACTAAGCCAATGGTTTTCTATTATCTTCAAGATAAAATCTAATTCATGGAAGAAGGCTCTTGGGGAAATGGTCCATCACCTTTAGGGGCAGTGTTTATTTCTTAGTTTCCAACTCAAGTCCCCAAATTTATGCTCTAACAATTCTTCCTGCACCTCTCATTCTGCTCAGTTTTTGAATAGGGATTTCATTTCTGGAATACCCTCTTCAAATTCAACCATTTTGCAAACTCCTTTCTACTCTATAAAGCTACTTCCATCCACTGTATTTCCAAATAGTTCTTGAGAGTCTGCTTTGGCATTATGATTGATACTGAATACTGTTTCTCTCCAGTGACATGTTTCTAGGATCTTAAAGGTATTTTTATTACAGAATTATAGTTTACAGCCATTTCCATTCTAGAAACTGTCCAACTGTATTATAATTATTTCCAGGTCTGTCTGTGTTCCTTAGAGCAGGTCAGTGTCTTTTTGTCCTCTTTGCATAACACAGTATGATTAAATAAAAATTTGTTGAATACTATTGTTTTGCTATTAATTCAGCTGAATAAATATTAAGTTGAGCAACTACCTTGTGCTTGGTGAGCACTGGCGATTCAAAGGCAAGTAAAATACAGTTCCTGTCCCCACCAAATTCTCTTTTAGTGAGAGAGATACATGTACCATCTATGAATGAATTATGACAGAGTGCAATAGGAAAAGTGAAAAGCAAATGTATTCTTCCAGGAAAGGGAAGTGCTTTTCCCCCACTGGGTTCACAGCTTTTCTTTCCTTCTCATTTCAACTAAATGCAAACAAATATTTGCCAAGCAGTCAGATGTTTCTGCCTATATGTTAAATCACTATAAATGTGATAAATGTTGCCACCAGTGACACAACTTCCCAAAATTATGAACAATTCATGGTAGAGTTTCAAACAAAACAAAGTACAATCATCGTTCAATAATACAGTATTTTTTATCCTGGTAAAATTTGATATGTATTATAACCCTGCCAAAAGTATATAAGTAAAAACTGAGTTAGGGGCTTGGTTCTGAAAACTCTTAAAAATACTGTTTTCTACTTTCATGACCATCTAGTGGGCTACTCACATGTCATACAGGACTCAGGATAATTCATCTATATTATATATAAATATAAATATATATATATAAATAATTCACATATAATATATATTATATATATAATTATTAGTTACAATTGGATACAATGTCTTTATTTTATTTATTTATTTTTATGTGGTGCTGAGGATCCAACCCAGTGCCTCACATGTGCTGGGTGAGACCTCTACTGCTGAGTCACAATCCCGACCCCCTCAGTCCTACTCAGTAAATGACAAGAGCATCTCAGTCATAAGGACATTCCCAGAGAACAACTTTGCATCAGTGAAGAATGGCTATGGCAGGTGGGGCTTCAAGGACATTATGCTAACCCAGTTAGGAAGTCAGGAAAGAACTTCCTTACAAGAATTCCAAAAAGTAAATACAAAAAGAAGGCAGATGCTAAGAAGACTTCATAGATCTTGTTAGTAAAGATACTACAGCTAATAGGAAGTTTGTGAAGGGGGTATAAATTGATAGAAGACATGATTAAAGGGCTGGGGCTGTAGCTTAGTGGCAGAGCACTTGCCTTGTACATGTGAGGCTCCGGGTTCGATCCTCAGCACCACATAAAAATAAACACATAAAATTAAGGCATGCTGTATAACTACAAAAATATTTTAAAAGACTCGATTAAAAATGAGGAAA